CAAGAGAGAAGCTGTACACATCAACCAATAAATCATATATACATTCATACCTATGAGCAACCTAATATAGTGTTTGAAAATGGCAAACTCATGTATACAACACAATGCAAAATTGAATTGCAGAACTTTCCAAAAAACAAAAGGGGACTGGGGATTAGAAGGTTGTATTGCAGAATTTCTCTTTTTGTTGTCAATCGACTTCTAAATAATTTTGACCATAGTACAACAAAGTATTCCATTCTTTTATTTTAATAATAGTATTCCATTCGTATCAACTTCATGTATGGATACTGTTGGAAGTATAGAATCCCACATCAGGAATTCTAAGTTAAGCTGTACAATATATAACATCTTCGACCTCTCCACCCATTGGAACTTGGTTTTGGGGGCTAATGAAGTTGTTGGGCTATTATACTAGCCTTTCAGTTAATTCCTTAGTCCGATTAGAGGTTGCAGTCTTAGCCCTATACAAAAAAGGTAAAACACTATAACAATACCTGTGTAATCATATAAATTGGTCACTTTTAATTAATGAAGTGAGAGTTTTGGTTCATGGAAGGAATACATGCCTGGGATTCTTCCTCCTTTATTCTTCTTGCCTTTATTCTTATTTCCTCAAAAACAATGTTTCTATTATATTTCATATGCACTGTTCATGCTGTTCCACTTTGGTATAAAGTCAATTACTTTTCAGTAACCCAAACCAGACCTTTTCTTCCCAATTGGAAAACTAAACCCTTAATATTTTCTACATCCATTAACCCTCAGGTAACCTCCAAAACAACTCGAAAATTATAAAGCATTGTTGCTGGTCCAGACTTTCAAGCAACCTATTTTTGCCCTACTTGCTTTTTTACTATATCCTTCCAAAACCCTCTGTCCCAATACCTAAACCAAAACAAAATTGAGACGCGCACAGAGGAAGCTGCTCTATGTCAGAGACACATGCAAACATTTTTATCCTTAATGTAGTATAATAGGGATCACACCTTAACTATGCCACACTCCTATCAAAATGTTAACTATGTGATGCAGGACGCGTAGGACCTAAATTTATTAGTTTCCTAATGTATTTGTTAGTTTCCTAGATTCTCTAGTTTTCCAAATTCTAGTAGGATTTTTACTTTTCCAGATTTCTAGTTTTAAGTTTCCTATTTTATTTGGGTTATGATTTCTGTTTAAGCAAGGGATTTTTATCCTATTTTGTCTAGGTTTTAGTTTGCTATAAATACCCCCATGTAGTTCTTTAAAATTCAGATTTGGATATTGAGTAAATCTTCTCTTAAAACTATGTGATTTCTGTTCTTCCTTCTCGGTTCTCTGATTTCAGTCCTTTATTTCGTCCCTTCGATCTATATTTTCGTCTCCTCGACCTCCGATATTCTTCTTTGTTCTACTGTTTCTGTCCTTTATCTCGTCTTTTTATCTCTATTTCTTCTCCTCGGTCTCTTATATTCTTTTCTACTCTATTGTTTGAGTGCTTAATCTAATACCTACGGGCTGTACTACATCACTATGTCTTACAACACAAACAGAATTAACGTTCTTTCATTGTGGTATAGAACATTTTAGGTACATTTAACTTTCTCCTTTTACTTGAATTTAAAGAAGGGGAAGATCAGGATTACAAATCAAACATGCTTTCATCACCTCCATCATCTATTTTACTAATAAAAGTGTTCCCCATAGCATCATATTCTGTTGCCTTCTTAAACACCATCTGCTGCATCTTGCTTTCTTATTGCCCTGATGCATCACTGTCTAATTTTTACCATTACATAATCTGCCTTAGCAATACTACTTGGTTTTCCCTATTGCAGAACTCCAAAGTCTAACACAAGTGACTTTTCCACAAGTCTCTCCTATGATCCTATAAGTGTGTAGGTCAGGTTTGGTTTCGATATTTGAGTAATAGAGAACTGCAATACTCAGTTTGGCAACAAAAATTAAAAAATTAAAAAATTAAAAAAAGAACTGCGATACTCAGATAACGAACTTCACAATAATTACAAGATTTGATCCATGACTTTTTATACAGCAATAAGAGATTCTAGTAAACTCAAACGTAAACTAGCTGGCTCCTTCAGTTTCTAATTTGTTTGTAAATTTTTATTTTTACTCGCATTATTCATACAGTTAAGATTAGCCTTTTTTAGTATTAGGACTTACTTTTACAAAGGGGATCTTACTTCCCTATTTCTTGCCTTTTCACCTCCCCTACTTGGTGCACTCTTTCCCCTCATTCCCCGATAGGTTGCAGTTGTAATTAAGGAAGAAGATTTCTTCTCATTTTCCTGGTTTCCTTGTAGTTGTACCAGAAAACCAGTCCCCTTTGACTGTGTTTTGATCCCTACTGGTCTTCTTAGCAAGTATTAGTCACAGTAAACTAGCAAGCTCAAATAGCTTCCACTAGACAGTTGATTCTACGAAAGCAAATCTAATCAACTTAATTAGCTTTGATAAATTAAGGAAATCAACCTAAAGCTTTCTGCGCACCCAAATTTAAACAGACAAAACAGTATGGAACACACATTTATGATTTTGCCACTAAATTGACAACTTGGTCACCACAATCAAACACAAAGCAGCAAAATTCGAAAACTAAGTAAAGAAAGATTGAAGCTTTCACCTGATTGAACTCAAGAACATCGGATTTGAACCGGATTCTATCCCCTTTATCGCATCGAATATCCTCAGGAACTCCATGAATTGTTACTCCTCCACCACTAGGAATCACAATGTCTCTCTTATTAGCCTCGTTTAGCACCACCAACCTCCCATCACTTCCATTCAACCCTTTGGAAAACTTCAACCTGAAATCACTGCTCAAATCAAAGCCTTGCCCCAAAGCCTCCAAGGCCCTCACCTCTATGGGCTTCTGGGTAGCCTCCATTTTCATCCCTCTCTCTCTCTCTCTCCTCTCTCTTTCTTCTCCCTAAACAATCACAAGAAATAACATCAACCCATCTGCTGATTTCAACCCAAATCAGCAAAACTGCCTCTGATTAATCTAGAAGAGGTGGAATAGATAAGCTTTCAAAGACTGGTCAAACGTCTTTGATTTGAATTTGACATCTTCCAAAAAGCCACCAACAAATCATTCAATCAGAGTACCTGTCATAGTACAACAATTTAATCACACCTGTAAAAAAAGTCAACCAAGTATGCTGCTTGCGTATACTTTATTTTTATACAGTCTTTAAGTTTATACGCTAATTAAACAAAATATTGCAATAATTGCTAGATAGGAAAAAACTGAAAATGGTTTGAACGTTGAAGATTCCTCTTGTAACGTACAAAATTAGATTAATATACGGATTAAAAAAATTCCAATAATTTCTTGGGTTGTTGATTTCTCAAATGTGCTTTTTTGAAAATCACTTTCTTTCTTCTTTTCTTCTTCTTTGGTTGCATAGAATTCGTAATTCAAATTGAAAAATGTCTTATGATGTAACAGGAGAGAAGAAAAAATAAATCATTAATTTAAAAAAAGAAAAAAAGGAAGGGCAAGGGGTGCTGTTGTTCACAGTTGAATATTGACTTTGGACAAAAGTGGCAGGCTGTGGCTTGGCAAGTCAAACGTTGCTTACCAAATTCTTACCGCCTCTCTTGCTTTGTTTGTACGTATGTATTTATTGCACGTTCTGGTGCTGGTGCTGGTGGTTAATCTATCTTTGTAATTTGGACAGCTACAGCATTTGGCCGACCGCTTATTGGCGCTCTGTTTCCATTTTTTCATTTTATAGGCCTCGCGGCACATGGGGTGTGCGAGGTGTGTGACCGCACAGGGCCCCTAAAATTTAAGGGCCTCCAAATTTTTCTAAGTCAACTTATTAAATTAACTAAAATATGAAAATAAAAATGAGATATTAAATATCACCCCACAACACCACATGCAATGCACCAAAATCAAAATTGAATTGAATATTAATTATCAACAAATTCTATGACTTAGATAGTAGATGCCCTAATTTAATTCATTTTCCTCTTCCCAACTCTCACGTTGCAACTCTTCTTTTTATTTATTTATTATGGTTTGAAACCTGTGTTTTCCTCTTCCCAACTCTCAATCTGCAAAACCATTCTAATATTCTTTTCTCTTTCAGTAAGTCTTTCTCACTCTCCTCCATCAAAATAAAGTCATTTCTCTTTAGTACCAGTGTACCACCCTCTTCCATCAAATTTTGGATTGTAAAAACTCAAGCTTTAGCCCTTTCCCTAAAATCACAGTTCTTTTCTCCCTCCCTTATTCACATGAGAATTCATCAAGCATTGAAATTGGAAAATCAATTTATCAGCTTTGTGATTTGGAATGGTGACTAAAGAAATTTTTATGGGAAGCTCTTTCTGAATGTATTCTTCCCGTGTCAAAAATTTTTGTTTCTATATGGATTTTTTTCCCTACTTGTGTATATAGGGCCTCGACATCCATATTTGCACAGGGCCTCCAAAATCAATGGACCGGCTTTGGTGTCAATGGTCCAATTTTTCATTTCATTTCGACTTCACACCGTGTACGTGTTGTCTTTTTTTTTTTTTTTTTTTATATAGCGATTTGGAGACGGAAGTTTACATAAATATTTTATTAGGCATCTAGGATTTTGAACGTCAATCCACATAGGTGGAGATGGAATAACTTAACTAACTATGATATACCCCACTTGCCTAGTCATCTTTTTTAAATAAGGAATTTCAAAACGATGGAAATGAATGAATTTCCCATTTGGCTTATCATTTTAAAGTTCAAAGTAAAAAGATAATTAAAACCTAAGTATGGCTACGGCTAGAGTCAAGAAATGCCCAACTGTCTATCCTTTCACTGTTGTTTTAATTATGGCTACGGCTAGAGTCAAGAAATGCCTGGCTACACTGGACCTTGCCCCTATTATTATTTTTCTTTCTTTCCATTAAGACATGACAATTGTGAATTCTCATCTATGCTCTATAGTACCTTGGAAAAAGAAGAGTAATATTCAAATATAAAAAATAAAAATAAAAACTCATAAATTCAAATCTGGAAATCCAATCGATTCAATATCATTTTCTGCATTAGTATTTTCTGGGACCATATCAGTACAATACTCGCATGAGACAATAGGAGGGGTCAAGTGCAAGCAGTGGTTGATTCTCTTTTCCATCCAAGCCAGCCTCCTCTCAAAGCTCAACACCGCAATGTGCATACACCGGATTTCAACTTCTGCAACTCTAGCGCAAGCACGAAGCAAGATGTAATAATCAGCATGTGCAACGTAAGTGTAGGCACCTTCATCCTTCTTCCTTACATAGTGAAGGTAATCAAATCTTTTGAGGTTGACCCTCGGTGGAATATAAAAGAATCTCTTCTCCTCCATGTCTAATTTCATTCGAGCAATGGCTTCCTCTTTGAGAGTTTCTGCGTCATTAACTTCTGAGTTCTGACTATTCTGTGAGCTACTACAAGAATTATCGCCATTTTTGCTCCTTTGTTGGTCATCCGCGAAGGGAGTTTCATCACCAGAGTAAGGTCTAGAAACAGGCAATTTATTACTAAACCTTTTTTCTTTAGATATATCATTAGTGCATTCTTCATTGTCCCTCAATCTTTTCTGGTTAACAGTTTCACCACAAAGCAATCCTTGTTCGACTGCTGTTTCAGAATCCTGAAAACCAACAAAATGCATTATGAAGTGGTATTATTCACATGTCAAACTAAAAGCTTCTGAAAGTGAACACAAGCATCAAGACAAAACACCATTGAACCAACATTATTGAACTAAAAGAGAACATGAGAATCTATCTAAGCTCCACATTCACAAAACACAGAGTAAACGTCACATGACTGGAAAGCTGTAGAGTTCAGGAAAGCTGCAATAAATTGATGTATTGTGATTTAGTTGGAAGTCTGATCTTTTAATTTTAATGTGTAGTTTAGGCACGTTAAGAGTTTTTCTTTGCTGCTGTAGTTGTACATTTGACCTTTTTTTTATAAATTTATGTTTCTTCTAATAAAAAAAACAAATCAATAATACCTATAGCCTACCCTCGCCGTTCTGTTTTCTATTCTAAATCAGTAAACATAAGTGACCACTCTTCCCAGTTAAAAATCAATAATACCCATAGCCTACCCTCTCCATTCTTGTTCTGTTCTAAATCAGTAAACATAAGTGACCACTCTCCCCAGTTAAAAATCAATAATACCCATAGTCTACCCTTGCCATTCTTGTTTTGTGTTCTAGATCAGTAAGTGACCACTCTCCCCAGTTGTTTGGTACAAGGAACTTATATACTTCAGATAGGTGATGCGAACAAACAAAATTTCATAACATTCAGGAACGAGGCATATCAATCATGCTGAATAGAGACTTCTTATTCTGTTTTCCTACGCTTGTATGGGAGATATATCAGTGAAGCCTCTTTTCAATCAAATCTAACTAAAGGCTAGCACAAAGTACTATTTAGCTGACTACAAGAAAACTTTGTATAATGTGTGCAACAAAACATATGTTTGAGAAGACAATATCACAACTGCATTCAAGCTACACATTACCTTTCTACTCTGATAAAAGTTCCATAACAATTCAATTAGCTCTTCTTCCTTGTGATCCTTGAATGATGATTTTGATCCAGCAAAGACTACATCCTTGCAGAACTGAAGATACGTTGGTAAGTCCTTGCAATATTCTGTCAACAATAAGGCAAGAATTTAAAACTTCATAATTAACAAATTGAAGGGAAGGGTTGGGGGAGAAGTAAAGTATCTAGCCTATGTGATTTATTAATATGAAGAAATAATTTTTTTAAATTGCATCATCATTTTCAACATAGAACTACTCCAATATATTTCAAATTTACCATAAGTATCAGCAATTTCATTATGCTTTGCTTCAAGGCTGGATAGAAGTTCTGCAGCGTCCAATTCAGAGTTCTGAGCATTTGACAAATTTCTAACAAGCTCTGTATCCGTATCATCCAAATTGTGGGATGGAGAACCTAAATCCTCTGCAGTACCAGACTGCATTTTGGAATTGGATGTGGGATCCAGATCCCCCATCTGATTAGATGTGGAAGACAAAGTATGAATTCTGGACAAACTTTTTTCCCATTCTCCAAAACCATGAATATTATAAAGAACTCTTACTGCTACAATCAGTATTGACATAACAAACACACGAGTAGGAAGCCTCAACTCATTTGTTGATAACCATAAATCTGGAGGCATTGACCACTCATATATGCGACATGCGTGAGGGAGAACCTTTCCGACTGGAAGAGACAACTTTTTCAGATAGCGAGAAGCTATAGCAAAAAAATTCACTGGAGGTAAGTGCAAGCCTATGGACTCAGCAATGGATGCTGCCAGTGCTTCCAACTTTTGCACTGGCACAGATTCAGAAGGTCTAAACATTAAGCTTGAACTTATTGGGCAGGCACGTGAAGGCCTTCCCAAGTCTTTTTCAATTTCAAGAAAAGCAGAAAAATATGGGAGCTTTCCTTCAACTGACCATTTTACTATGTCTGTCGGTAGGACTGCTTCCCTGGAAAGATGACAAGCCAGAAAGGAAATGGCTAAAGTATAAGATAATGGTATAGTGTTTCTCAAGGACCTAAACCATACCATTACTGCTCGCTGACCAAACCTTGTGTGAGGTTCGTCTCTGTATTTAGAGCGCGGCTTAAAATCTTCGGGAGGTTCGCCTGAAACAAAAGAAACTCAATTATTAAAGACAACATAAATCAAACAACAATACAAGAGATCAAGAATTTAAACAAAAAGCTAATGCAGACCACAGACAGTCAGTTTCAAAATTAACATTAACTGATTATAGAAATCATACTTGCGCATAAGAATCAAGCTACAATGCAACAATTGTTTTATTTATTTATTTATTTTTATTTTGGTACTTACGCATTCCTTGAAGAACCGAGCTCCACAACAAGAAAATTGAATTCAGATTAACTATACTATACATAGGTTGAATTCGGTAATGATGAAACTGGGTGCCAGCAAACAAACCTTGTTGGCGTATCTCAGCGTCATCAAAAGTCCGGTCACCCCAATCATCCTGAAAAACACGAGTCCAAGCCAATAAGCGTAGCCAAATGGACCCAGACAACCCACAAATCAAAGGGTTCACCTTAAACTCCCTAACCAAAGCCTCACATTGGAGCTCAATTATCCGCTGCACTCCTTTCACATACCTAAGCCTAACCTCACTGTAATAGCCCTCCACCGTGTCGAATCCAAAATCCTCGGGTTCCGTGGGTCCCACGGCATCAGCAGCAGCATTGTCATTTTCCATGTTGGTTTGACTCAAGGGGTTATTATCCAGGGGTTGGGAAAGGGGCTCGGGTTTGACGGCGGAGACGTTGACGCGGCGGGTGTTACGGGCAGAGTAGAGGCCTCCCTGTGCATCGCCAGTCTCGTCGTAAAAGTCCTCATCGGCCACTCCGGTGTCCTTGAAGTCCTGCGTTTGTGAGTTGCACAGGCTGCAGTAGAAGAAGCCATTATTGCCGTCTACCAGCTCCCCGTTGCCACAAGTTTCACAAATCCACGAATTCGACATCAACAGCCTTAAATTGAGCTCTCAAATCGAGCTCTCAAATCTTCTCAACCAAGTTTGTCCTTGTCTTTCTTCTTAGGTAAGCTTTCAACTTCTCATCAATGCTCTAAGCTTTCAATTTTATTTTGGTTTTTTGTTTTTCCCTTCCATGAAGGCGTGTGTGTGAAATTCCGAAAGAGAGTACAAGAACGAACAGCTACAAAATTCGATAGAACCCAAATGAGGGAATGAACTTTGAGAGACACCGACCGAAACCCCTCTACGTCTCTCTCCCAACTACTCTAGACACCCAACTGAATCTGAACCGGCGAAAAAACTCCGATTTCGATGGTTTCAGAGTGACGGTTGGTTGCAGTGCGATGGCTCCTGTGTTCGACGGCGATGGCTGGTTGCAGTCCGACCGGTTGTCGAGGAAAAAGCGAGACAGAGACGGGGAGAGAGGAAGGAGGTGGCGGTGGCGTGGGGTTTAGGGTTGTTGTTTTAAAAAAATAACTTTTTTCATTTTATTGTTATAACTTATAGGCTTTTTATCGTTAATGCTCCTTGAGGATTGCGAAATTATCACTTTTCGTCTCTAATGTTTGTTTGTGACAGTAATGATCCTTAAAGTTAGCCTCCACACATTAAAATGGTCCTTAACATTAACTTCCGTCAAATTTTCTGTTAAATTACTGGTGTAACACATATGTGAAGCCCACACATCCAATGGTATAAAACCACGTGGCTTTAAATATAATACAATATATTTTTAAAACTTAAAATTCATTTAAAAACTGAATTAAAAGCAAATTAAATCTTTTTATATAGTTTTAAGGGCTAACATCATTTTACCCCCTCAAGATTTGGGGCCATTTTTGAAATGGGCCACGCGGTTTTAATTTTGTCAATTTACACCTTAACGTTTTAAAATTCAACCAATTTACACGTTACATCTGCATCATTAGGCACTTGAGGAAGACTGAGCTGCTTTGGATCTTGGAGTCTTTGAGATTTGAGGGAGAGTATGGCCCTGAGCTGAGCTAACTTGTAGTTTTGTTTTCCTTTTTATTGATTGATTTCTCTTTGTGGGTGGGTGGTATCATTGTCCTCGATATGCCATAAATCTGTACTGCCATTTTACCCCTGTTATCAATTCAATTTTCTTTAAAATTAAGAGCCCTAATTTACAAATTACAATCCTTAATCTAATTCTTTTTGGGGGAGGGAACAAATGGGGCTTCTCAGCATCATTCAAAAAATTAAAAGGAAGGAAAAAGAAATTCGTATATTCATGGTGTAAGTGAAACTTCACCTCTCTTGCCTTTTGTTCACTCATATGATATGAGAATTAAGTAATCGATCGTTCGTTTGTTTTGTTTTGTTTGTGAAGTGGGCTTGACAATTCCAACAAGACTATTGTTGTGCTCAGGATTAATGGAGAAGACACCAAGGTTGGTGCGGCCAGTTCGCTCCCACCCAAGATCAGTCCTTTGGGTCTCTCCCCAAAGAAGATCGGAGAAGACAATGCTAAAGAGACAGCCAAGGACTGGAATGGCAACATCAAGCTCACTGTTCAACAAACGCAACGGTAACATTGCGATGAAGGAGATTCTGGGCACTTGTGTTTCTGGGAATTACAGAGGTTTGGTAGCGGCTGTTGTGGCTAGGTTGGGGGTGGGGCTGGCTAATTTGTGCGAGAGAGAGAGAGAGAGAGAGAGAGAGAGAGAGAGAGAGAGAGACAAGGAATGAGAGGGAGGAAGAGAGGGTGGGTTAGGGAGGATAAGTTCAAGGGTGGAGATGAGCATGGGCGTCTGAAGGAGAAATAGGTGTTGGGAGTGAAGGTGGGGATAGTGGAAGAGAAGGAGGAGGAAGAAGAAGGATGGTGTGGTGAAGATGTAGGGTTTGGAGTTGGTTGGTGACGGCTGGGGAGTTTGGTCAGAGTGTTGGGTTTTTTAATTATGTATTTTTTTTTTAATAATTGATTTTAATTAACTTTAAAAATAAAGAATTTTTTAATATTATTTGTTACATATTTTATTACACTTAAGCTAAAAAGGTGGACTCCATGTTTGTCACATCATCACTTAACATAAGATCAAACGGTCAAATTAAAGGACCGTGTAAATTAGTTGAATTTTAAAACATTAGAGTGTAAATTGACAAAATTAAAGCCACGTGTCCCATTTTAAAAATGGTCCCAAATCTTGAGAGGGTAAAATGATGTTAGCTCTATTTTTAAATATCTTTCCCTCTTCTTATCCTTGTGTTCTCTTTCCCTCCCCCTCTTGCAGACCCCCTCTCTCTCTCTCTCTCTCTCTCACATTCGATTTGAACAGAGCATTAAAGATATTTCAAAATATATATATATATATAATTTAGCTTTCAATTTATTTTTTTTTATGGATTTTAAGTTTTAAAAATATTTAAAGTCACGTGGCTTCATATCACTGGATGTGTGAGCTCCACACATGTGTCACGTCATCAATGTAACAAAAAATTTGATGGAAGTTAATGGCATGGACCATTTTGATGTGTGAATGGTAACCTTAAGAACCATTAGTGTCACAAAAAAATCATTAGGGATGAAAGATGATAATTTCGTAAACCTCATAGACCATTTGCGATAAAAAGCCTAACTTATAAGAGCGTTTCCAATAGTAGACTGATGTCAGGGCAAGACAAGGGGCGTTTAAGTGGGTCAAGCTTGCCAGGGCAAGCTGCGAGTCCCACGTGACCGGGCCAGCTCGCAAGGGAAACCAACCCGAGATCAAGCCCGAAGGCAGGTGACGTCATGGCTTACGCCAACACGTCGTCAGCTCGTGAATTCAATTTTTTTTTGCCATTAGCGCTTGTGCACATCAGCCTTGATGTCGGCCAACAGTAACACGCCACGTGGCGCGTTTTGGTCGCTTCGATCGTTTTTTTTTCCTTAAATCCAACGGCTGCCCTTTTTTTTTACCTTAAAAAATCTGGAAAAAAATATTTCTGAAATTTTTTAAAAAATAACAAAAAAATTATGTAATTTTTTTTTATAAATACCTACCAATGTGTTCACTTTCAACACCAATCCTGAATACATTTTCTTCTTCTTCTATTATTTTCACTTTCTACACAAAATTTTCTTCACTTTCAATTTTCAGTTTTGATCACCATCTTATGGCATCTTCCATCGAAGCCGAAGGGACGTGAACAATCATGGAAGATGTTCTGTTGTGTGAGTGTTGGGTCCAAGTTGGTCATTGTCCGGTCACGGCCAATGAGATGAAATTCTGTCATATGTGAAAAAAAAATTCATGTCGTATTTTATGAAAGATCAAGTTCAACTCGTACGAAAATGGCCTTGGGTAGTAGATGAAATTTTTTTAATAAAGAGTTGGGGAAATGGAGAGATGCGTTGACAAAAGTGAGGGACAACCATCGAAGCAGCGAAAATCTTGGCAATACGGTAAATTATTTGTAATTTCCATTTTATTAAATTTAATGTCCTAATTTTTTTTAATGTTTCTTGCATTTCCAATATTCTTTTTAATGTTTCTTGCATTTGCAATATTTTTGTAATGTTACTCGCACTTTCCATTTTTTTTAATAGATTATGCAAGCACAAATGTGGTTCGATGCCATTGGGTAAGGCAAAAAATCTTTCAACCATCTACAATGTTGGGACATGGTGAAAAATTGCAAACGATTCAGAATTATTCCCATGGGTCCGACCGTTGTGTTGAATGAGACCCTACTCCTTGATTCAATGGCATCAGATTCGCCTTTGGATTCCCCGATGAGTCAAGACTCACCAATCCAAAAAGAGCTTAGACCTATTGGTCGAAAGGCGACGAATGCGAAGAGAGGGAGTACTTCCGGCAATGATATTGCAAAAATTTTAGAGCAAATTGCAAGGAACGGCACCATGAGAATTGAATTAGACATGAAAAAAGATGCGGATGAAAGAAGGCAATGAATGAAGAATTTGCAAGAGAAAGGGAGTATATACGCAAACAAGACATTGAGAAGAAGGATCGGGAAACCATGGCCTTGGATACAAGCCATATGTCCCCTGAAACAAAACAATTTTGGAAGTTAGAACAAAGGGATGTCATGAGAAGAAGACTTTTCCTGGACGATGGACACAGCAACACTGATTGGTTAAATGATCAAAACCATTAAGTTAGTTTGCTTGCCTTTTATTTAATTCTATTTTAACGTTTTGTATTAAAGTAGTTGTAATTCTTGTCTTTTATTTAAGTAGTAGTAATTCTTAATTAGTTGTACTGCTTTTCTTTGAGTGAATAAAGAAATTATTCAATAAAATACCTTTTTATTCAACACATTGCATACATCAAACAAAACATAACATAAAATATAAAATATAAAAACCACAACTAAAGCATAATTAAAAAAAATACAACCAAAGTATAATTAAAAAAAAACATCAACCAAAGCATAATTAAAAATAAAACATCAACACAAAGCAAAATTAAAAACAAAGCATCTTCACTTCACTTCATTCACCATCATTGCCTCTCACCGCCCATAAATACTCCATCAAGTCAACTTGACGTCGTTCATGAATATAAGATGATTGCATCTCCGTATATCAATCAATCATACGGTCCATGAAACAATCGTCCCTAACCAACATTTCAAGCTCCAGTGGTTGTCCATTTGGGCCCATGGGCCTTTTATTTGCCAGTGCATACAGTCGATGCTTCTAATCATGCCTAGAAAACCTCGAGCTTCGGCTTTCTATAGAAGCCTTTAGAGGTCCCAGGGTGTAGGTTTGCAGAAGTAGTCCCTGGTGTAGAGAGTTTCGATTGCATCACAGAATCTGACCAAGCTCTCTAGAGTATTCGACTTCCCCATCCTAGCAATCTTATCCACCTGATCAACAGATGAACCATACGCTAGCATTCGTATAACAGCTGTAAGCTTTTGCTTCGGAAGAAGCCCCAAAACCCCAGCAACTTCACACTTCTGAAGGAAGTATGCATTGTAATTGCAAACATCATGCATGACTTTATTGAACAAATAGGGTTGCATTCTATATCGCCCTCGAAAATCAACATTAGAGTACATAGAATTTGGGATAAAGTAATCTTCCAAAAGATTCTCACCCCGATAATGCCTATGTCTATCCACGTTAGGGCCACAACCGACTTGTGAACCACGGTGGCAGCCTTGGCTTAGTAGATCAAGCAAACCCACTGTCATGGCAACTTGTTCATCTTCTTCTTGCTACACCCTTTTTTCTTCAGCTTGTTTACACATTCTTTCTTTAATTTCTCACTCTTACCTTTCCAAGCATCTCCTCATGTCTTACATTGAGAGTGGAGTATGAAATCTAAAATCTGAGAAATGAAAAGATAGAGAAGATCTAGTGCGAAAGGTATAAGCTAAGCCTATGGTTTTATAGAGAGATGTAGAAGATAGAGATGACACGTGACGCAATTTTAGATTGTGAAAATCTTATATGAAATCTAAGATTTGTATTTTATAATAAATATCAACACTGGCACCCGAGAATTTGATCCTGAAATCTTATCTGAATTTTGAATTTTATAATAAATATCGACACGTGGAAATCGAGAATCTTATCCCAAAAATTCATTCGAATTATGAGATATGAATTTTATAATAAATATTGACACGTGGGAACCGAAAATCTTCTCCAAATTAATTGTTTGGGTTTTTTTTTATAAAAAAAATTGAGTAGTATTTGTCCTTTGCCATGGCAATGGGTGGAAACATACCTTGGCTTTTGCAAGGGCTACCACTATTCACGTGAATATTAACAGCCATTGCCTTATCTTACCCGTTGCCATGGCAAATGGGTGGAAGTACTCTAAGAAAGATTATTTTTTATTAATTTGTTTTTAGGGTCAAACATGTCCCCAACTTTTTATTATCTATGCGGACTTTGCATCAGTAAAAAAAAATTATGGACATGTTTGACATGTCAGCATTTAACAAATGTACTAGTGGTTTGTGTAACATAATCTCTTAGGGTTTCTTTAATTTTTCTTTAATTTATAAAAAAAATTTGGATTGCTATTCATAATTCAACCAAAAAAGTCACTATACACAAAGGGCCAATACAAACTAACCACAAATGACCATTACAATAACGGAGCGATCTAACATCAAAGTAAGAGAATTTGGTGTGTCTCCACTAACAATCACACATGATCGAAGAAACTCTGTCTACCAATAAAAAAAGATAAAGCTTGAAAAAAACAAAGTCATAACAATACAAATAAAACTCTCACAAAAGAGAGATGAAAATCTCTCACGAACGAGAGGTGAAAAGCTCTCAGAAAAGGAGATGTGAAAACTACACAGAGGACCCAAAGATTCTCTGTGACTTATTCTAAACATAAAGAAACTGCAAAAAGGATGGTGGTGGAGATCCGACGTCTAAACAAGGTGGAAATATGATGCCGGTGGAAATCCGATGCTGAGATGCAGCCACATGTGATGATTGGAGGAAAATCATAAAAAATAAAAATGAAAACAAATAGGGAAAACATTTTGTCTCTGAAAATGGGAGAAGAGGGAAGAGGGGAGGGAGAACAATGACTTCCTCCCCTCTCAAAATGAAAACGTCTCTAGAGTGTTTTTTGAGAGAGAGGGAGCTACGGTTTCTTTGGAGAGTTTCTGTAAGTTTAGGTATTCATTTGCAGGGTATATTTGATCATTTTATTTATATCATGAGCTAAATTGATTTCTTTCAAATAGGTAACGTAATGTACATTGGTTTATCTTTCAAATTGGTTCATTAGTCTATTCCCAAGAAAAATTGGTTCTTTTAATGAGCTTTTTGTAGTGTACCACAACTGATATTATTTTCACAATTAATTTTTAATCTTACGTTGTAAAATTCAAAGATAATTATTTCATTTGAATCTTTATAGTTTCATGAATTTTAAAAAACAATACTTTTTTTTATATAGTTAAAAGTGATATATTGCATTCATAATTCATGCCTAAAGGTCGTGAGCCACAATGACCAACATTTTTTGTGAGAATCCTTATTCTTAAATGTTAATATTTTATTACTTCAGTAAGTATTAAATTATAGTAATTGTATATATAAATAATAGTTTACTTATATATATATATATATAATTTAATTAATTACATATATAGTTCAATTTGATTGGTTCTTACAGTGAGTTTTGTTGGTTATTCTTAACTTCTAGTTTATATATGGAATCTATGGTTTTAATAATTTTTATTATTATTTTTTTTCTAATGGGTGCTTTGATAAATTTTGGTTGGGTAAGTAAAAGATAAAGTAGGTCTCTACTTTTTTCAAAGAAGTTGGAAGTGTTATTTATTTGAGGCATGCATATTCATCTTTCATCTAATGCATTGTTCGGTGTAGTTGGAATTTTCCACTAGTTTGCATATCACTTTTGCTATCAAAGCATGAGGTGTCTACTTGATATTATTGGAAAGATTGTGTTTAAACTATGTGTGAGGAGCAAGCAAGTTGGGTGGCTTTTTACATAGTGATGGTGTTATGTAAGCTGGAGGTGGCATGTTAGTTTTCATCTTATTAACACCTCCAATAATATTCAATTGTTCAAACAAAAGGGTTTGATAGATATTTATGCTTTTATATGAACAATAAGTTGTTATGTTGTTATCCTTTAGTAGCCGCCAATTGCTTCATCCAATAGAAAATGAAAATGTAGCCAACATTCCTTTAGTATAAATAGGAGTGCAATTGTTTCATTTTGAAATGCACGGCATGCATGATTTGCATAGGAAAACAATAAGAGATAAAGGGAGGGAAATACTAGAAAGAATTTGAGCGTGAATGCGGTGGAAATTAGGGAGTCGTCTTACAATTCTAGCAAAATCTTTGGTGTCAAGTAAGGGGTTTCTTTGGGGCCTTTTGCGGGAATTGATTTCATTAAATTTCATGAGCACTATATTATGTGTGATATTATAATTTGATGGATGTTCTTGATGTTGGGTGTTTACGTGTTATTAACCATTTGAACAATGTTGGCATAATTATATATACATTGGTGATGTTTTAAATTGTTACATTGTTAGGATATGTAAAAGACATATTTATATCATGTCATAGAAATTGGCTGAAATTGTTGGATTGAGAAAATAATGATGGAAAAGAGGGTATATAAATAATCTTTAGTGCAGTTGAGTCTAACTATAGGTAGGTGCCAGATCTCAGGGATTCCACAATGGACATGGTTTTTATTAGGTGATGCGGGACTGGCGACAGAGAGTTAGACAAGATGACTAACAAAAGGGGAATTATGAGATGATTGAGATGCATGTTTGTTCATATAAATGGGCATTTGGGACCAAGTAGTATAAGCATGATATAGGACGTGTAGGTCTGCTTGTCCAATTAAATGAATTAACGGGAGTAGTTGAAGAGCATTCATGCACTATTATTATTATTATTAATATGATAATTGGTTGTGTGATTGCATGTCACTTAATTTAGTTATATCAACTTACTGTGGAAATGTTTATGTCCTTACTGAGTTCTGGTTTCGCTCACCCCTTAACAGATTTTGCAAGTGCTAAACCTGAAAACTAGGATTTGAGATGAACTGGTCTGTTTGTAGATATGTTGTGTACATAGCTTGTGGTTGAATAATGAGCTACTTGTTTAATAAACTCTCGAGTAATTCTTAACTTGTAAAATATTGTAGTGATGTAATATTCTGAAAACTTACGCTGGAAATTCTATTTGGGAGATGTTTATTTATTTACTTTAAGTTCTTCACATTTTAATTATAGTTTTCCTTAGAATTCTATAATTAAGGGGTGAATGACGTCCTAATCCAAATTTACATAAATACATGGGTTGGGGAGTGACACTTTTTTAGAGATTGCATTCATAGTTTAATGAATTATAAAAAAGAGTACTTTTTTAGGGACTCATTTTTTATAAAAAAAAATTCTCGTCAATAGTGAGAGCCTTATTTAGTTATTTAATGACAATCCATGAAAAGAAAAAAGAAAAACTTTTTAGTGCATATTACATCCTCATCCTATAACTAAATTTTGCAACATGTTGCATTTTTGCATACTTTTTATACAGTGTGAAACTTAGCTCACCCATTAAACTAGCATGTGAAGAATTGCAAAGAAGAATATGATACAACATGTTATCTAAAAAAAATCATTTTAAAAATTCACATGTTACAACAAATTTATTGTTTAAACGTTATACATAAGAAACATCTATTCTAAAAAGCCCAAATTAAATAATCAAAAGTCACAAAGGACCCATTAGTGTAATTGTTTGGAGTAATTGCTTCCCCAAGAGAGATTCTGAGTTCAACTCCTAACATCCATATAATGTGTGGTAGTCTAATATGTTATCCCCAAGAGAGTTTCTTAAGTTAATACGAACATGCATAGGTGTAAGTTAGCTCGAGAAACCTCGAGTTCATATTAAATTTGGACGGACATCTATTCTGGACACATTTTCACTTTTAAGTACTTTGTGGATGTCCATTTTGGATGGAGACTTATTTTGGACACATTTTGATTTTTAAGTACTTTGTCAATGTCTATTTTGGATGAGGACTTATTTTGAACACGTTTAGACTTTGAAGCACTTTGTGGATGGACACATTTTGATTTACTTTGAGGGGTCTTATAATGTTGGATTAAGTAATGTTAATGTCTATTTTGGATTGTATTTTGGTGAAGGATGTTGGATTGACTATTTGGTAAATGTTATTATGTTGCTTAAGTATTACTTTTACCATATTCATTTGGTATTTTCGGTGCCCATTTCTACATTGCTAAAAAGTTTTTCAAGAAGATATATTGCCATCAAAAGCTTTCCATGCCCATTACTTATATACATCACAAAATAACCTTATAGAACAAAATATTTCACTATAAATTAACACTATTTCCTCCATATTTATGACCACTATTACAAACATAAAACACAACAACCCACAACCACCTTGGTCTCTATAGATTGACTTGATTTGGTTTGTTCTTTTATAAGTTGAGCTTGATACGAGCTCAAACTATATCGAGACAATTTACAATAATAAACTAACATCAAAGAGTTTGATATTTAGTACTAAAAAAATACCTTTAAACATAAGCTTCAAAAATAAAATTACAAACATGATACTTTAGAAACAATACAATGTAGATATAAACTTCAAAAAGAAGAAAGCAAAGACAAAATGTTTTTAGTTTTGTGTGTGTGTGTGTTCTATTGAGTAAGTGAAGACGATAGTGATCGGAAGGGAAAATGCCGTGAGGATGCCATTTCACAGATTAACCCTTCCTTGCCCTATACCTCTTGCCACCTAAAATTAAAAACACAAACAATATATATTACGTACCAAATAGGCAAACATAAAAAAACCAACCTAATTTAAATGCTTCCAATATAAACAAAGCTAACCAACAGGTTGGGAAGATGAGGCCCTTAGGAACTTGAATTTGGGCTTTAGGTACTCCAGTTTGGGCTACAACCACTTGAGTTTGGGTTGAGGCACATCGAATTTGGGCTAGCGGCACTTCAATTTGCACTAGAGCAGTTTGATTTCAGGCTGGGGCAGTATCAGTTTAGGCTAGAGCAGTTCGATTTTGGGTTAGGACAGTATCATTTGGTGCTGGAGGCACCTCATTTTGGCATGCATTTCCATTTTGGCCTGTCAATACAACCACTACAGGCCAGTACCAGACCTGAAAACTGCGATACATGAGGTCTGGACACGAGTTTATTGGCATCTCCTTCCGCTTCCATTCCCTCCTACTTTGGACCAGATTGTAACAAGAGACATGTCAAGAACCGGAACGCGGATGGACCTTCGGAAGTCCCAAAAGTGAAAATGCGTTAGTTACGGCCGAGTCAAACGAAAAAGATAGCAGTTTGAACTTTAAAAACACAATCTGGCTTATTGTCCATGCCGAAAACCAACCCACCTTCTGGTTGAGGCAGTTGGAAAGCCAGTCATATATGTGCATCCAAATCCAGAGGATGAGAAGCAACATTTCACCAATTAAGAGGAGATCTTCTTTAGCACTGAACAAGCCGTAACTTTGGTTTGGAAAATGTGGAATATTTGTTCCTACCACCTTTCCACAAGCTTTGATTTCTTGACTGAACATCTATAATTACAGATAAAGAAATTGTACGAAGTTACCAGAACAACAGAACCCAATCTCTACAATCAACTTCTGCCAGGGGTGTTATGGTTAACTTTCTTCCTTTTCTTTCCCCCTAACGATGGGGTCACCGGAGCTGCAGGTCTTTTCTTCTCAAATGCTTTGGTTCTGCTGTCTAAATCTTCATCGTCGTCATCATCGCTAGCAGCCGATGCGGTGGCGGCGGCGGACTCCTCGGCAATTTTGGCAGCAGCTCTTCTTCCAGCATCCAATTTGTAGTGTAATTTCCTTTCCAGGGGATCATCTGAAGGTACAAATTTGGATGGCCGGGGAACTTTAGCACCTAGTCCAAGCCTGAGAAAACCAATAAAGATAATTAAACTCCTTTCACCCCAAAATAAATAAATAAATAAAACTTGCCTAGCAGGTCGACTCTGTATTTCAAAATGCTCATCTTCTGCTGGTTCAGTCATGTCATTAACCCATTTTTGAGCCTGCATATTCGTAAATTTTCAATTTTGAAGCACAAACAAGGCAGTAACATTGCAGTGGAGGATTAAATTATCATACCAATTCCAAAGCTTTATTCAATTTAATTATTTGGGGACGATCCTTTTTCTGCGACATCTTGTTGGTGTGAGAACCCATTGCCGACATAGTAGCAAATCTGTATTAATCCACTGTCACAAAACTAGAAGCCAGAGAAAATTAACAGCAAGAGGAAATTTAGACGAGAAGCAAAAGATTGTGGAGGGAAGGAGGGAGGGAGGGAGGGAGAGAAGAGAAGAAAACCGAATTTGCTGCGGCTGTGAAGGAGATGGTGCGTGCGGCTGAATAAGATTTCTAGGTTTAGAAAAGTTGTTTTTTACAATTTTGACCCCAATATGTTATGTAATTTAAATATGTCCACAAACGTTTCAACAATTACGTTTGGACTCTAGTTTTTCTTTAGACAATTACTAATTGGTCCTTGCAGTGTCTTGACCTTGGGTTGACCGAGTTGAAATCTTTTGTACCCAATTTCTCTGTCTCCTCTCTATCCCCTATGTATTTGAGTGACACATGTCCCAATTTATTATTAAAGAAACACCATATTTTGTAGTTCCGTTTTTACCCCTGCCATTGGTAAGGAAGGGACGATGGGGGAGGGGAAGAACGATGGAGGGGAACATTCAGCCAGATCTGTTTTTTAATTAATACAACAACATAAATTAAAAAATATAGTGTTTCTTTAATAATAAATTGGGACACGTGTCATTCAAATACATAAGGGACAGAGAGGAGAAAGAGAAATTTGGTATAGAATGAAAGATCTCAATTCGTCCCGACCATATCCAAGGCTTAAAGGTCGTTAATCACAAAGACCAATACCTTTTTAGAGATTGCATTCACAGTTTCATGAATTAAAAAAAGGCAATATTTTTTTAGGAATTCATATGTTTTATTAATTTTTTTAGTCAACAGCGAGAGCCTTATTCAGTTACTTGACATTTCATGAAAAGAAAAGAAAAACTTTTAGCACATATTACACCATCATTCTATAACTATATTTGGCAACATGTTACATTTTGCAGATTTGTTTCGTAGAGTAAAAATTAGCTCACCCATTAAACTAACATGTGAAGAATTGCAAAGACAAAAACATGACACGACATGTTCGTCTGTAATTTGAAATAAAAATCAATTTAAAAATTTATATGTTACAACAAGTTTATTGTCTAAACATTATACATAAGAAACATCTATTCTAAATTGTCCAAATAAAATAATCAAAAGTAAAAAAATAAAAAATAATAATAAGCATAATATATTTACTTCTTAACAAGTCACCGATAAGTTTCTTAGAGCATCTCCACCCACAAGGGCTAAGTCTAGGGCAAGGGCAAGCAAGGGCTGCCACTATTCACGTGAATAGTGTTAGCCTTGTCATTTATGGTTCCACCCATGATGGCTAAGTCTAGGGCAAGTCTAAGGCAATTACTATTCACTTAAATTTATTTTTTATTTTTTATTCTTAAACCATTGATTTTGATAAGCTTTTCGGATAAGATTTTCAATTCCCAAGTGTTAATATTTATCATAAAATCCTCACCTAAAAATCAAGTTAACATTTTTGGATAAAATTTTGAAATTAAATTGGTGTGAAAAGTGAATAATATTGGTAGGTATGTATAGAAAAAATTTCCAGAATTTTTTGATATTTTTTTTAAAATTTTTTGATATTTTTTTCAATTTTTTTTTAGCCAAAAATTGGACAACCGTTGGATTGTGCAAGATTTTTTGATCAGAGGCTCCAGAAGAAGCCACATGGCTTGTAATCATTGGGCAATGTGGGTTGGTGGGTCCAACAGTAAAAAAAAAATTGAAAATCAGCTGCTGACGTCAGCAGCCCGAGTTTTGGTGCCCAGGCAAGATTAGCCCGTGGGCTTGCCTAGGCTGATGGGACCCACCATTTGCCCGGGCTCATTGTTGTGCGCTGGAGCTGGAAATGGGTTGCCAGGGGGGCCTTTTGCCCAGGTTTGGTGCAGCAGTGGACATGCTCTTAAATAGGTACTACAGTGGTGGCCTCTCTCTTCCCCCCTGCTTGACACCTAGGTTTGAAACCCCAAGGATTTTCAAAAAAAAGCTGGCTCGAGAAAGCTCGAGTTCATATTGAATTTGAATCGAATTTGGGTTATCTGAGCTCTGCTCATAAAAGGAACAAGACAAATCGAGCTTGGTTCGTTTAAGAAACAAATATATTTTTTATTGATAAGCTTGTGAACATATCAATGATAAGAATTTGTGTTGATGAACAATAATTTCCAATAAAAATAATCCAAAAAAAAAAAAAAAAAAAAAAAAAAAAAAACCTCAAAGCATTTGTGTTTGCTTTCTTCTTTTTGAAGTTTTATATCTGCTTTGTAATTTTTTTTAATTAAAGAAAGTACTTTGTATTATTCTTAATATATTATATGTTTGTATTTTTATTTTTTGAATCTTATGTTTAAAAGTATTTTTTAAATATCAATCTCTTTGATGTTAGTTTATTATTGTAAATTAGCTCAATACAATTTGAGCTCATATCAAGCTCAACTAGTAAAAAAAAATTCAAATCACTCTTCAAATTTTAAACAATTCAAGGTAGAACACTATGATATTTAGTGGCGAAGCCAGGATTTCATGTGTCTGGGGGCCTTTCACAAAATATAAACAATAAAAACTTCGAACTCATAGGACATCAAAACATCAAAAATCATATTGTCTATTCATTATAATCATAATTGTCCTCGACGAGTTTTCATATTTTGAAATCGTTGCATAACAACCTCGTCATCTATACTATTAAAAATGTTTTTCTCAATATATGCAACAAAGCAATCATTCATCCACAAATCCCCCATTCGATTGCGTAACCGATTCTTCACAATATTCATAGCAGAAAATACTCGCTCTACACTTGCGGTCGCAACAGGTAGGATTAGTGCCAGTGTCAAAAGCAAGTACACTAAAGGGTAGATCTGATCTTTTTTTGTCTCAACCATCTTTTGCGCAAGATCAGTAATCTCTTTCAATTATGTAAATTCATCGTTAGAGCTCACGTCCCAAATGTAATTCTCAAGTTGTTCTTCAAGTAATTTGAGGTCATACTCAGAAAAATCACTAGGATAAAATTGGGCAAGTCGCATCAACTTTGCTTTATCAAAAGCAGAGAATGAATTACTTGGACTCAAGCATGCCATACAAAGAAGTAATTCAGTATTCTTCTCATTGAACCGATCATTTAACTCTCGAAGCTGAATATCAATAACATCAACGAATAAATCAACACGATAATGATGTAAGTTTGTGATGGGTTGAGCTTTACGTTTTGGTCTCCCTCCACTAGAAAAAATATCATCCATTTTAGGAATTTCAATATGATACTTGCCACAAAAGAAAGAAACTTGATCAAGTAAAGAATCCCAACCATTATCTCTCATGCTTTGCAATCTTCCTTTACATATTTTGACCAAGTCCATGGCATTCACAATATCTTGATCTTTCTTTTGTAATGCCTGAGACAAGTCGTTTGTGATTCCCAAAATTCTTTTCATCAAGTGTAGACCAAAAATGAAGCTGAATGATTGCATAAAAGTCAATAAAACCTTTGCTTAAAATTTTTGTTCGTAACCTGATCCATCTGTTCTTACAATCTTAAGCACATCTATCACAGATGGGAACATGTTTTTCAAACTAATTAAACAATTATAATGAGAGCTCCATCGTGTATCACTAGACCGCTTAAGATTAGTTTCTTGATTCAGGCCTTGTCCACTTAAGAGTTCATTATTATTGAGTGCTTCAAAAATTACATCAGCATGCTTTTCTCTCAGCATATCACGGCGCTTAGCAGATGCACCCACAACATTCACCACATTAGAAACCATAGTAAATAAATCTGCAATTTCTGAATGTTTCTTTGCCACAGCTACCAAAGCTAGCTGAAGTTGATGAGCAAAACAATGAACATAAAAAACAGAGTCATTCTCATTTAGAATGAGTGTTTTAAGACCACTAAACTCACCTCTCATATTACTTGCGCCATCATAACCCTGCCCTCGCAATCTAGAGATGCTTAATCCATGTCTCGAAAAGAAATCATCAACGGCTAACTTGAGGGAAGAAGATTTAGTATCTGTAACATGCACAATACCTACAAAACGTTCAATTACCTTACCTTTATCCACATAACGTAGCACAATTGCCATCTGCTCCTTTGAAGACATGTCGCACGATTCATCAACAAGAATGGCAAATAATGAATCACCAATATCCCTTATGATTGCATTGATAATTTCAGTTGAAATAGCACTTGAAATGTCCTTCTGGATATCAGGTGATGTCAACTTCATATTTTCAGGAGCATTTTTTAGCGTGACAGCTTTTATATCATCATTGAAACGACATAGCCATCGTAAAAATGCAAGAAAATTCCCTTGATTGGTTGAATTTTCAGATTCATCATGCCCACGAAATGGAAGCCCTTGTTGCAAAAGTATCCTACTGACACCAACTGATGCACCTAAACGAGTTCGATAATCAATTCGATCTTGGTTTGAGTGTTTTGAGAGAATTGTTTCAATATGCTGCTTTTGGTTTAATAAGACCTCACAACTTCTCCAAGCCTTATTGTGGGCACTATTCGGTCCTCCAACATGAATTTGTAGTCTATCTTTTTTCTTCCAATTCGAAAATCCAACACCAACAAAAGATTCACCACCAGATTGCTCTCCAACATCAGGTTTAAAGATATAACAACATAGACAAAAGGCAGCATCTTTTTCTATGCTATACTCTAACCAAGTAGGAAATTCACTAAACCAACCAGGATTAAATCGTCTTTGTTTTGCTCCAAAATTTTTGTAAGGAAAATTATGCCCTCGAGGTTGACAAAGACCTTTTTGGAGATAAGCTCTTCGAACTTGGTCTCGAACATTTGGATGGTAACTCAATATTTGATTACGTAATCCGGGATCAGATGGCAGATTTTCCGAGTTAACTTCCGTAGTTTGGTTTGGACTACTTTCATTTTTCTTTTGACTCTTTGCAGGTGACGACTCCACTAACTCAGACTTTGATTTTCTTTTGAAAAATCTTTCCATAACTGAAACACATACATGAACTAAATTTAAATCGAAACAGTTATGAACATCTTCTCAAACTTATAAACCAAAGCAAATTGAGCAATTCAAAGCAATATATTAATCAAACCAATAGAGAATCATATATATAGAAATTTATAAATTAAAATTAAAATTTCACCAACACAAGTTCACAATTGCATTAAAGGGATAAACAATTAGATACTACGCAAGAAAAATTACAAGGGATAGACAAATACATACTTAGAGTTGAATAGCGATTTACCAAATATCTCCAACCAAAGCCTTTTCCCTTTGGTAATCTATACATAAATTGAAAGACCCATTAAAATCAATAGAAATAAAAAATAAATAAATAAAACTTGATAATTTAATTAGAATTTGAGAAGAGAAAAAACTCACAAGCAACTAGCTGGTCTGGTTTGGTTGTGTTTCTGACCTAAGAAAAGGGAAAAAGGCTTAGGTTTATTGATTTACACTAGAAGGTAATATATAATAATAATAATTCTAATCCTTTTAGGAATGGGTAGTATATAATTTTAGGATAGTTGAGTGGCCCACGTTGAAATCTATTGGACCACACCACTTTGACTTAAAACACCACTATGACTTAACTTTTTGTTGAAATCTTCTTTCTTTGGCCCATATCCATGTAGGCAGACTCCTAATACTAGTACTATTTTTTTTTATAATAAAATTTCAGTGGGGGCCAGTGACTGCACTGGTCCCCAAGTGCCTCCGCCACTGATGATATTCGACTCGACTCGTCTTGTCACACGCCTGTATGAATATGACATATTTCTAATGGGTATCTGACGAGTCGGCTCGATCCAAGGCAACGTCTACGGTGGATTTGGAGCACCGATGTGCCAATTTTTCAAAACTGCCACAGTAGGTAGCAGGTAATATTATATATATATTATTTCAAAAACAAAAAGAAATAAAAAGAAATAGAAAAAAATTATGGTGGTGCTCTCCACACCCTAACATATCTATCCATCTCAACCCTGATCAATCCCTAATTTCATTTGAGATTTGTTTTTCTGAAACAGAAAAGCTGCTCTTTTATCACTCTCGACCAATAATCCACCCATCTCAACTGCCAACTCCTCTATTTCTCGACGGCGGTGACTGAGTCTTCATCCCATGTATAGATTGCTCATCTATCTTCTCTCTTGATAGTGACGACTGCTTGATGCAAATTGCACGCGCCATCTTCCATCTCATCTTAGCCCAAGTATCATGTGTTACTGATGTATATTCAAATCTTGGACCTCATCTCATCACCCTCTAGCAAATATTATTTTTCTGCTGTAGTTTTTGAGTTGAATTAACTCTCAAGATCCACTTGGTATGGAATTTTAGATTGAAATTCCAATTTTTGGTGGGTCAGTTTCAATATCTATAAATTGAATTATTTTCTGGAAATTGAGATGAAAGATCTAGGTGATTTGAAGTATTTTCACAAAATTTTAATTCAATCCACACGTAAATCTTAGAATACTCAATTTTAAATTAAAACTATAATTAAAGATATAGAAAAATTAGAGATTTAGATAATACTTTTTGTTGTAGAAAGTAGAGGAAAATATATTGCCACATGTTGCTACCGTCGGATTGCTATAAAATAGAACATAGGGTTAATCATTTTATTAGTCTCTGAACTTTGACCCGAATTGTATTTGAGTACCTCAATTTTCAAAATGGTTCACGTGGTCCTTTAACTTTAGTTTCATTTGGACAAATGGTTTGCCGTCAATTTTGTTAACATTTTCTGTTAAATGCATGGGCAAAATAGTATTTTTATATTAAAACCAAAAAAATGAATAAAAAATCATATCTTTAAAATAACAATAAAATCAAATCAAATAAAAAACCAACAAAAATAATAATAAATAAAGGTTTGGGGGAGTAGAAATCGGGATAGAGGAGGAGAGAAAGAGTTTAATTTTTATTCATATTTTAATCAATTTTGATACAAAAATATCATTTTGCCCTTGCATTTAATAGAAAAGTTAACAAAATTGACGGTAAGATCATTTGTCCTAACGAAACTAAAGTTAAAGGATTACGAGAACCATTTTGGAAATTGAGGTATTCAAATGCAAATTGGGTCTAAATTCATGAACTAATAAAACGATTAACTCTAGAAGAGATAAACAAGCTGATGTGATGTAGCCAAAAGAGGAGAGAAAAGATATGGGACCTCTTCCTTTTGGATGGGCAACATGTGTATTGAGTTAGCTTTTAATTTTTTAAATTTGGGGCCGCCCTTATAACATATATGTAGGTTTTAAAAATTTGAAAAAACTTTGGGATGGGCGGGCACCCACCTTGTCTTGTGCATAGATCCGCCACTATGAGTTTGTTCCTAATGCAAGTCTTGATCAGTTCATTTTTGGTACGGTTTTTGTTCTCTCCTACTGTCTGCATAATGTATTATAACAATCAATTTTTTTGAGTTAAATGTTGTTGAAGATTGCACATCAGCTAATTATTAGTTTTCAATATATAGGTCCCATTAAGTGCTTACTTCTAGAGTGGGAAAGACGGTACAAAATCATAGGAGGCATTGTTAGGGGACTTCTTTATCTTCACGAAGATTTTGGGCTTCAAATTATTCACCGTGATATGAAAGCTAGCAACATGTTGTTGATGAGATGAATCCAAAAATTCAGATCTTGGAATGGCAAGGTTGTTTGTAGTTGACCAAACTCAAAGGTGATACAAGTAGAATCGTTGGGACATGTAAGTAACACAACATTCTAGACAACCCTATTTTAGTTTTGTCATATTTAGTTCATTTTGTTTTTGACTCGTTCTCTTGTTTCATGTACTTGTGTGGAGATTGATTTACTCACAGATATGTCAATTCTTCTGTGGATATATGGCTCTTGAGTATGTACATCATGGAAAGTTCTCTGTTAAATCAGATGTGTTTAGCTTTGGAGTGCTGGTTCTGGAGATAAGCAGTGGTCATAAAAATAGTAGCTTTCACATTAATGGGAAGCAGAGGATCTTTTTAGCTATGCATGTATAAATTATGTATTATGAATATTATTTGCTTCTGAACTGTAGGACTCGACGACTGGCTAGTATTGTTGATCTAAACTAGACATTGTTGCAGGCATGGATACACTGGAGGGAAGAGATGGCTTTAAACCTCATAGATATTCAACTTTGATGGCTACGGTTTCCAAAGCTGAAATATTGAGATGTACATTCACGTTGGGTTACTATGTGTTCAGGAGAATCTACATGAGAGACCAACCATGGCTTCAACTGTTCTCATGTTAAATAGCCACTCTCTCCATCTCCCAATTCCCTCAGCACCAGCATTCTTTTGCCCACAGCAGCATGGACTAAAGTACAATTCAAGGTTGAAACAATCTAGTGAATCTAGATCTGCTGAAATATCAGAAAATGAGGCTTCAATTACTGAGCCAAGGTTTTATGCATCTCCTTGTTTAGTTATTTGTCGCTCTATTAAAAGTCATGATTTCGGTGATATACCCCTCCATGTTTGAAGACTCGTCCACGCATGGGGAAAGAAGAGAGCAACACGTGTCCTTTCAATCCTATTCCCAGCTCCACCTAGCTGGCACAAGTGGTCAACACTAGCATGACACGTGTCCCTTACCTGGCCCAAGGATAGTCGCAGGATCAGATTACCAGTCAAGGATCTGACGCACAAAATTTAGCCACATCATTTCTTGATTTCCAATATTTCCCGATCTCCAAAAACTCCCAAGCTCTGATCATAAACACATGTAATGTACTTTTCTTTAATCACATCCAAATAACCTTTTTCATCGATGGACTGACGTGCCGTGTCTGACGAATATACCTCGCAATTGCCTTGTGCTTTCTGGTTGGCCTGCATCATAGTCTTCCAATCCGATGATAAAGAGTGAAGAAAACATGGGGTCTGGCTAATGTCAGAAGAAACCATCTTTGTCTCTCCTTTAAGACATAAGTTGTTGTTACTAGTGAGTTGAGCAAGAAAAATGGGTTCCTCAAGGTCAATGCTTTTCTTCATCACTCTTGCTATTATTATCTTACACCTTGTTGCTCCCACCATAGCCCAAGATGATGTTTTGTGCACAGAAAAAGGTGAGTACTGCTGGAAATGCTCTGATACTGGCACCTACACAGCAGGTGACGAGTACCAAGAGAACCTCAACAGCGTCCTCTCTTCCTTTTCCTCCAACACCCAAAACAATTCCGGGTTTTACAGTTCATCCAGGGGACAAGACTCCAACAAGGTCAATACAATTGCATTATGCAGAGGAGATCTCTTACAGGACTCTTGTCAGGCTTGTCTCAACGACTCTACTCATAGTCTCTTGCAAAATTGTTCAACTCAAAAGGAAGCAATCATATGGGCAGAGCGTTGTATGGTGAGGTACTCACACAACTTGATATTTGGTATTGAACAAACGGACCCTTTTCAGCGTTTGCCTAGCCCAAACTATCCTAAAAATCCTGAACAGTTTGAGCTGGTGCTTACCCCCTTGTTGGGTATTTTAAGTGACAGAGCTGCGTCAGGGAATTCTCGTGAAAAATTTGCAGCAGGGCATGCAACTGTCCCTGGAGGTGAACCAATATACGCACTTGCTCAGTGCACTCCAGACATAGACAAGCAAAATTGCAGCAGTTGCCTTAAAAAGTCCGTCACAGAAATTCCAATCTGTTGCGGTGGAAAGAATGGAGGAAGAGTCCTTAAACCCAGCTGTAATTTAAGGTATGAGAATAATAGTTTCTTTGCGTCTAAGGACGATTCGTCAGTAGATATTCCAGCTCCAGCACCTAAAGAAGGTATGTATGCTTATTATGGTTACCCTGCAAATCTTCAATTGTGTGGTGTGGTTTTGGCTTTTGATAAGATATCCCATCTGATTTTCAGCAAAAAAGAAGAGTAATACAAAACAAACTGTCATCGTCATCGTTGTGGTTTTGGTTGTTTTTGTCACTATTTTCAGCAGCATATGCTTTTTCTTCAGAGTAAGGAAACGAAGGGTAAAACTTGAACAAGGTAAGTTCAACTCTGTTTATTTATCTTATCTGAGGTTTTGGAACTCTGTTTGCTAATTCATTTTCCCCTTTCAGATGAGAATTCGGAAGACGTGAGTCTGGTGGAATCGTTGCAATATGATTTTGAAACTATAAGATCTGCAACAGATGACTTCTCTGATGCAAATAAGCTTGGACAGGGTGGATTTGGAGCGGTTTACAAGGTAACGAAACACTATCACAAGGAAAAAGATTCATCATGAAGGAATTGTTTTGCGTAATTAACTTTTCTAATTTTCTTATAAACCTTCAGGGTAGGCTAGCGAATGGAACATATATAGCTGTGAAAAGGCTCTCTAAGAATTCTGAACAAGGTGATCGTGAATTCAAAACTGAAGTCACGTTAGTTGCTCAACTTCAGCATCGGAACTTAGTGAGGCTGCTAGGTTTTTGCTTGAAAGCAGGGGAAAGAATCCTCATTTATGAATATGTGCCTAACACCAGCCTTAATCACTTCATTTTTGGTATGTTTGCTCTACTTTTTGTCATAATTCATATTCATTTCTGCCTCGATTTTGTATTATAGGAAAGCATATTAACAAAATCATGTTTCACTTTGATGGAATTGTATTTAGATCCAATCGATCAAGCACATTTGGATTGGGAAACACGTTACAAAATCATAGGAGGCATTGCTCGAGGGCTTCTTTACCTTCACGAAGATTCTCGACTTCGTATTATTCACCGTGATCTTAAACCTAGCAACATTCTGTTGGATGAAGATATGAATCCTAAAATTGCGGATTTTGGCATGGCAAGATTGTTTATGACGGATCAAACTCAAGGAGATACTAAGACAATTGTGGGAACCTAGTAAGTATCTGCAAATTTCAAAGCTATATTACATTGTTGTGCTTGTTCACACCATAACTAAAATTTTAATTTGATGAATACAATAATGCAGTGGATATATGGCTCCAGAGTATGTAATTTATGGACGTTTTTCAGTCAAGTCGGACGTCTTTAGTTTTGGTGTGTTAGTTCTTGAAATCTTAAGTGGTAAAAGGATTAGCAGTTTTCAAAACGGAGAGAATGAGGAGGATCTTTTAAGCTATGTGAGTATGAATATAAGGTTTTACATTACCAAACTCTTTTGCTACCAAAAAAACTTAACAAGAGAAAGCAGCATCATTTCTTCTTTAATTAATGTGTTTATGAACTTGATAGGCCTGGAGGAATTGGAGGGATGATACAGTGGCAAATATCATGGACCCAAAGCTGACGACAGGTTTAGGAATTGAAATGATGAGATGCATCCACATTGCATTGCTATGCGTCCAAGAAAATGTGGCAAGCAGACCATCCATGGCTTCAGTTGTCTCTATGCTTAACAGCTATTCTGTCACACTCTCAATACCCTCACGACCGGCATATTATTTGCAACAAAAGAGTGGATCAGACATAACAGGGTCCGATGAATCCAAAAACTCTATGCATGCGTCAGGAAATAAGAATTCAGATTTTACTGAACCATATGCTCGCTAGTGGGGTGGGGCTGAGTACGCATCAGGAACAATTTATTTTCTTTTCTTTGATATGTGTGTTTGATTGATATATTTGAACAACTGCAGCTCAAGTTAAATATTTTCTGTACATAAAGTAAAACCAAATTGTCGTTTATTTGAGAGGCCAAATTAAACTTGACGGGTGAGAAGCTTGGTTCTAGTTGATTACTAAGTTAGCACTAAAGTTTAGTTGGTGTCTTGTTGCTTCAAGTTGGTATGCTCATCGTTAATAAAATGGCTTCCCGTTGCTTCAGTGTTATGCCTGTTTATCTTCTTGCAGTTCTCTGTTGATCAAAAGCTCTGTGCATGTGTCAGGAATTAAGGACTCAAACTTTACTGAACCATATGCTTGCTTGCGGGGCTGAGTATATATCAGCCATATTACAACGTTATGGCTTGCTGTGTTTTTTGCCTGGTCTTGTGGAAGTGTATGAGGTCTTGATATCTTTTAATAACTGCAGTTGAAGTTAAAAGTTTTCTCTACATAAAACCAGTTGTCATGTCATTTCTTTGAGAGGCCAAATTAAAATTAGAAAAGAACTTGTAGAATTATAGTTTGGGGACATGGTGAACTTGTAGAATTGCAGAGGAGACCTCTCACAGGACCTTTGTCAGGCTTGTCTCAACATGTCTATTGGTAAGGTCCTGCAAACTTGTTCAACTCAAAGGAAGCAATCTTTTGGGCAGAGCGTTGTCTGGTGAGATACTCATACAACTTGATATATGGTATTGAGAAACAGTACCCTGTTAGGTATGTGCCTGGAGCAGAGTTTCTCAATAATCCTCAACCGTTTCAGCCGGTACTCGACTACTTGTTGCATAATTTAAGTGACAGAGCTGCATCAGTGAATTTCTCTTAAAAAAAAATCAGCAGGGCATGTAACTTACAGGAGCTGGAATAATATCAATATATACACTTGTTCAGTGCACTCCAGACATAGACGAGCAAAATTGCAACAATTGCCATAAAGAGTTCGTCTCAGAAATTCAAACCTGTTGCTGTGGAAAGCAAGGAGGAAGAATTCTTAAACTGAAAATACCTATAGGATGTCTAAAAATGCCTAGAGGAGGGTGAATATGCCAATTTAAGATTATAATCAACTAAATAAAAATAAACTTCAGTAACAGGATTGATATGGCTTATCAATCCTGAAACGTGCAGAGCATAAGATAAAAGAACACGCAGAGAATTATTTTACGTGGTAAAACCCCACCTCTGGGGAAAATCCATGGGACTCCTCAGTCCAACACAAATCCACTATAGAAGATTACAAGAAGTACTCACACACTTATCCTAGACGCATTCTATATAATGTTTACCGACTTCTTCGTAACTCAACTTCTGTCATGGGATGATCTTCGAAACTCCTTATGTTGTACGCAATACTGGCCACGATTGCTTCAAGCTCACCGGAGGAAAACCGCCATCACGGTCTTGGTGCCCTCAACCGTATGAGTCACCGACATGCATATGAATGCAATATAAATAATGAAAGGATTTGATAAATCACCAAGTAAAACAAGGAACACTTGATGACTTATCTAATAAAATAAGCACAATAGCTTTCTCAAAACAAATTCAATATTTTCAAAGAAAAAACCAATACGTTGAAAGTTCTACATGTTGAAAAGGAAAACCCCACCTTTTATTCAAGACAGGTTTTCTCTCTCAGGAGAGAAACCCACGTGACACACTTCCTATGCACCAATGATTCTCCAAACCAATTCAACTAAGACTTCTAAACATGATGCTAAAAGGTCTCTTCCTTGAGATGCCGAAACAGCAGCCAAACAAATATCCAAATATCAATATAAATTCTAATTCGATTTACATGATATGTGATGACGCCAAGTAATGCAAGATGTGAGGAAACCTAATCACTTTCCACTACAGCCAATCTTTTAAAACAATATCTACCGAAACAAATTAATTAAACGAATCAAGTAGGAAATAATATCAAGAGATAAAATCTAATCTTATTAAAAATAGGATTAATATAAAAATACTTGAGTGAAAATAATTCCAACTAGGAATCCTATAATGAATGCATGATTATGTCATAATTTACTTGTTGTCAAGTTTCTCATATAGTCAGGTCATGCCTCGGAAGTATTGGGTAGAGAGAGTTGTGCCAAAACATCCAGTAACAATTCCTCACAAACTAATTTTCAACCTATGCTAAAGTCTAGGAAATGACAATACAATTTTCATACTAACATTCTCCCCCTTTGGCATTTCCTAGACAAAACACCTATTACAACTCACAAGAAATTGCATGGGATTTAACAATTAAAACCTTACTCTAAACTTGAAGCTCTAAATCCCTGCACATTATGAAACAACAAAACCAGTGAAGCATGTGGGAGAAGAAATGTAATTCAAAGGAAAATTACAACATCACTCCTCCTTAATTCTAGAACACAATCTCTCCCCCTTTTTATCATAATTTCACAAGTCATCTCTCCCCCTTTTTGTCAAGAAATCCAAAGGGCAAGGAAAAAAAACATAAGGGAGCATATATAATAGCAAAAAATAGAGGAAATAATTAGTTTACAATCCCAACATATAAAGGCATAGAGATTAACCAATGTAGCATGTAAGAGGCTTTATCTTGTCGAGTGACAAAAACAATAACGTCACCAATTCAGGACAATGGGTGCAAAAGTATCATCTTTCATAGCCAAGATCCATTCATCACATATTTCCAAAGAAATGTTCTTGTGAACATGCTGTGCCACAGGTCTGCAACTGACAGGGATTGATAATGACACTGCAATCCTCAGATTTAGTTTATCATGTGTCTGCCTTAGTAACATGAGGCATAGCATGACTGCACAATTAAACAAGAAGCATAAAACGACACTATGTTTGAAAACAAAAGGAAAATAGGGAGCAGAAAGGAATAATGAGAAGTTAAGAATCAATACAAAACAAAACAAAAGCAACACACTGAAGACAGAAAACTCAAAACAATCAAGACATAAAACACATTATAGATGCATACCCAAAGTTCTCTTGAAGATTTAATTATTTTCCATTCATAAACATGTCAAGTTTGTGGGTAAAGAATGAAAAAAGCAACAGACCCTTTGTTGTCTTAAACGCGTGTGAAGCAAAGCATGTCAGAGACAAACACACAACAGCACACGAGACGCACAAGCTCACAGATAACAGTGTAGGCATACCACAATCATGGTGAAAGATAAAAGACACCAAATGAGTCTACCATCAAGGAGCAAAGGTGTTAAATGAACTCTTTTTCAATTAAGTAGAAAGAATATGTCCACACAAGATGAATCACACCAAAGATTGCACAAACACTTAGTGCATAGTAAGTATATAATGATCAGTTTATTTGAGATTTGAATTTTATTTTATTTTATTTTATTTTATTTTTTACATGTTTGGTGGCTCACTTTATTTAGCTTTCGACATGATCCATGTAGCGGATGGTCAATCGGTGTGCCCAAGTCAGATGACCATAAGCAACTGGGTGATGAGGCACCCATGGGGAAATACTGATCCGAATCATGAAGGCTCCAAAGATAAGCAAGGATAGCAAACTAACATAGCCTGTTGACTCGAACCTCGACGTTGATTAGACAGGAGGCCCGGTTACTGAGCAATGAGAAGTGATAGGCTTTTTAGTACCTGCGCAAACAGGGTTAAAACTCTTACAAAACTTGCAAGAATGACAAGGTTGTTGTAGTATAAATGATTCTCACAAGGTCGTTCTCCGCAGGGATTATTAAATAATTCGTAGCAACCAAATTCTAATTAATTATTGCAAAAGAGAAAGTTGAGATGTTTGATTTGAAGACCTTAAATTAAAAAGAATTTAACTAATAAAAATAAGGCAATATGCAAAATTAAAGCTAAGAGCAAGAGAAACAGTTATGTTTTTAGAAATCAAATTAAGAAAGCACTAGGGATCCGCCGTCACCTTAACAATTCTATATAGTTTCCCCCAATTACTTATAATCTATACATGCATATTTCGAAGGTTAGGTATTCCTAATATATGCCTACTTGGACCCCCAACATAGAGCGTATATCATACATGCAATCCGTCTGTGGTATTCAGATCGAATCTAAACATACATGACTCATTAAGTTCTGTGAAACCTTTTGAAAAACCATGCAACCCTTAAGACGTGGTATTCATCCTAAGTGAACTTGCACATATTAATCACAAGAAGCCTTCGTCAATTTCAGGGACCGACTTCCGACCAAAACTGCATCAAATTACTTTTCTAAACATCCTAATGGTGATCAAGCATCAAGACACTTAGATAGTTTAACCCAGTGATGAATAATTCGAAAACCTGCATGCATATAATCATAAGCAAATTGGACAGAAACTACATATTCTTGCTAAGGCTCGTGGCCTCACCCTAGCAAAAGAGAGTTAGTTACACATGTTCACAATTGAAATCCAAGAAAATATCATTAAGAAGAATAAGAATGCAAACACCTGAAAGTCGCGAAAATCCAAAACCCTAGCAATTGCTCCAAAAGCCAAAAAGAAGTAAAAAGGGAGTCCCTAAATTGCTGTGAAAAGGAGTTTAAATACCTCCTAAAACCTAGCTACCCAATCCCCACAAGGAAACTAAGTTAAAATAAAATAAGACTAGGAAATAAAGTCCAAATTGGATTAGGAGAATCTGCCCATAATCTGCCCAGCCACGTTTTGCTCTCAAATCTCCTCCAAATCTGGCCCAAGATAGCTTGTTTTAAAGATAAAAATATTCCGAACACTTCTCCAGAAGGCCACGAACCCATCCGAGGTCATCTTGGGCTCCAAAAACGCAATAAAATCCCAAAACGTCACTATTCTAGCACAGTGCACTGCTCCTTCATTTATTCACCAGGAAATCATCGCTTGGTGGAAAAGTCTGATATTTTGATACGATCAAGCTAAGTGGCTCACGAACGTCCTCCAACTGGAATTACTCCAAAATTCGTCCATTTGATTATGTTTTGCTCCAGAGGGAGTCGAAAGTCCTATATTGGAAATATAATTCAAAGTATCAAAATTCTTCCAAAATATTAACCAAAATATACTAAGAATGAGGTTAAATATATAATATAAAATCGACTCATCAAGAAGTCACCATTTAAATATATATATATATATATATATATATATATATATATATAAAGATCAAAAGCTTATGCACAGTAGTGGGATGGCAATCCAAAGAGAGATAAGATCAAGTGAGGAGATATTCAAGGTACTTCAAAGAAAGGAGTGTGCGGGTGCAATTGAAAAAAAAATAAATAAATTGATGGATAGATCATTTAATGAAGTTTATCAAGCACCAAGACAATGGAAACCTTTGTGTGAAGCCGAGAGTGTGAGTTCTCAATATAGTGCAGTGTCAAAGCCCAATCTAAGATCATCAAATACGTTCAGACAGTTACAGGATTGATACACCTTAACAATCCTTGCATGAGCTGGACAAATTTATAAACATAGAAAGTAATTGAATTATCATAAAACATGAAAGAAGGTTCCATAGGTGAAGAGGATTTGACAAACTTTGTTTTAGATACAACGGAAGACTTATTACTTGGTTCAAATCCCAAGCCTCGTTTGTCACCATCTCTTCTTCCCATGCTAATCATCTTGTCAATTTTTTCTGCACCAATGGTTAAAGAAACAATCATTTCTTTTGAATTTTTAAGTTCAAGTTCAAGGGCTTTGTTGTCAGAAGTTAGAGATACAATTAATTTATTCTGATCAGTCAATTTTTTCTGCAAAAACATCAATTTTTCGTTCATACCTACACTTACCTTTTCAGAATCTGTGTCAGGGGATTGAAACTCGTTTGCAATCCTGCAATTTTCCAGCTTCAGCACAACAACTTCTTTGACGAGCTCACTATTTTGTTTACTGAGCTTCTAAGAAGCAACCAACAAATCATCATATTTGTTCATGATAAACTCAATATTTATATCTTTACAATCATCATCCTCATGTGATTCATCGAAGCTAATTGTGGTTATGAGTGCAACCGCCTTTTCATCATTCTCGCATTCCGATTCACTATCACTCAAAGTAGTATGCATTGCCTTATTCTTGCCATCCTTTTGTTTCTTTAAGATGTTAGCACATTCCGAAGATATGTGTCCATAGTCTTCACATTCGAAACATTGGACCTTTTCTCTTGGATTCTTTCGTTCATTTGACCTGCGAAATTTAGACCCACCATCAATATAGTTAACAAACCTATTTTTAGAATTTATACCTTTTGAATCTCGACTCCTTGGATCCTGATTCTTGAGAAAGTTCATGAATCGTCTTGTGAGAATCGTAAATTCCTCATCACTGCAATCTTCATTTAAATGCCCATCATCTTCTTCATTCACAACCTTGAAAGCAACACTTTTGCTCTTTTTAGGAGCTAGATGTTTCATCTCATAGGTTTATATGGACCATCGAGTTCTTGAACTTTCAAGGTGTTCAAGTCATGGATCTCTTCAATAGCCGCGATCTTTGGTTGAAATCGTTGAGGCAAGGATCTCAAAATCTTTTTCACAACCATGTCTTCTGGAATTTTTTCACCTAAACTTGAACAAGCATTCACAATTACACACAATTTAGCATAAAAGTCAGAAAAAGTTTCATTCTCATCCATCATGAGTGTCTCAAACTGTAAAGTGTGCATTTGAAGTTTGGCTCCCTTGACAGTATTTGTTCCTTCATGAGTAACCTGCAAAATATCCCAAGCTTCCTTAGAAGTATCACAACCAGATATATATTCAAATTGATCTAAAGAGACAGCAGTAAATAAAGCATTTAACCCCTTTTGATTATTAGTGTTGTGTGTGACTTCTGCAGTGGTCCACTCCTCTCTAGTTTTGAGGACTGTGGTTTCTTCATCTCCTTTTCCGATCTTCTTTGTGGGTTTAGGAAATCCATGAACCACTATACTCCATACACGTTCATCTAAGGACCAAAGAAACGACTTCATTTTGGCCTTCCAAGCGCCATAGTTGTTGCGATCGAAATATGGTGGATGTGCAATTGAGCTTGAGGCATGATCCATCCTAAGTATGTTAGATCTTGCTGAGTATGTCCAGCAACCTGCTCTAATACCGATTGAAAATACCTATAGGATGTCTAAAAATGCCTAGAGGAGGGTGAATATGTCAATTTAAGATTATAATCAAATAAATAAAAATAAACTTCGGTAACAGGATTGATATGGCTTATCAATCCTGAAACGTGCTGAGCATAAAATAAAAGAACATGCAGAGAATTATTTTACGTGGCAAAACCCCACCTCTGGGGAAAATCCATGGGACTTCTCAGTCCAACACAAATCCACTATAGAACGATGATTACAAGAAGTACTCACACACTTATCCTATACACATTCTAGATAATGTTTACCGACTTCTTCGTAACTCAACTTCTGTCACGGGATGATCTTCAACACCCCTTATGTTGAACGCAATACTGGCCACGATTGCTTCAAGCTCACCGAAGGAAAACCGCCACCATGGTCTTGGTGCCCTCAACCGTATGAGTCATCGACATGCATATGAATGATGAAATGATTTGATAAATCACCAAGTAAAACAAGGAACACTTGATGACTTATCTAAGAAAATAAGCACAACAGCTTTCTCAAAACAGATTCAATATTTTCAAAGAAAAAACCAATACGTTGAAAGCTCTACATGTTGAAAAGGAAAATCCCACCCTTTATTCAAGACAGGTTTTCTCTCTCAAGAGAGAAACCCACGTGACATACTTCCTATGCACTAGGGCTAGGCATTTGGACCCGAAACCTGGCCAAACCGCCTAAACCAAACCGATGGGTTGGGTTGGTTTGGGTTTTTTTTCAATTTTTTTTGTCATCGGTTTGAACCCAGACCAAACCAAAATATACGGTTTGGTATACGGTTTGCAATATTCAAAACCACGGTTTAACCAAACCAAACCGAAGACATTAAAAAATATTATATATAATATTATTATAAGAAATATATATATAGATATATAATAAATAGTTTCAATCTTTTCTTTTTCATCTCTCTCAATCTCTCCATTTGTCTTGTCTTCATCAGTCCCTCTCTCTCTCTCTCTCTCTCTCTCTCTCTCTCTCTCTATTTTTTTTTCTTCTCATTCTTCTTATATCTGTCTTCGCTCCCTTTCCCCGTCTCCCTCTTCTTCTTCTCTCTCTTTTCTTTTTCTCATCTTCTTCTTCTTCTTCTCCATCTCTCCCTATCTTTTTTTCTACTTCTCCTCTCCATCGCTTTTATTTCTTCTCTCTCTTTCTCTCTCTAAGAGCCAAAAAACCGAAACCAAACCAAACCAAACCACCAAGTCCGGTTAACCGAAGTGGTCGGTTTTCATCAATTATGATTTGGTTTCGGTTTTCAAAATAGCCAAATCGAAGCCTACGGTTCGGTGTCGGGTTGAGCCCAAAACCGAACCAACCCAAACCAAGCCCAGGCCTACTATGCACCAATGATTCTCCGAACCAATTCAACTAAGACTTCTAAACATGATGCTAAAAGGTCTCTTCCTTGAGACGCCAAAACAGCAGCCAAACAAATATCCAAATATCAATATAAATTTTTATTTGATTTACATGCTATGTGATGACGCCAACTAATGCAAGATGTGAGGAAACCTAATCACTTTCCACGACAGCTAATCTTTTAAAACAATATTTACCTAAACAAATTAATTAAACCAATCAAGTAGGAAATAATATCAAGAGATAAAATCTAATCCTATTTTTAATAGAATTAACATAAAAATACTTGAGTGCAAATAATTCCAACTAGGAATCCTATAATAAATGCATGATTATGTCATGATTTACCTGTTGTCAAGTTTCTCATATGGTCAGGTCAGGCCTCGGAAGTATTGGGTGGAGAGAGTTGTGCCAAAACTTCCAGTAACAATTCCTCATAAACTAATTTTCAACCTATGCTAAAGTCTAGGAAATGACAATACAATTTTCATACTAACATAAACCCAGCTGCAATTTAAGGTATGAGGTTAGTCTTTTCTTTGGGTCTACAGCCAATTCGTTAGTAGATATTCCAGCTCCAGTTCCGGCAGCACCAGCACCTGAAGAAGGTATGTATGCGTATTATGGTTACCCTGCAAATCTTCAATTTGATCCATGTCTTACAATTGTGTGGTGTGGTTTTGGCTTTTGATAAGATATCCCATCTAATTTTCAGCAAAAAGGAAGAGTAACACAAAACAAACTGTCATCATCATCGTTGTGGTTTTGATTGTTTTTGTCTATTTTCAGCAGCATATGCTTTTTCTTCAGAGTAAAGAAACGAAGGTAAAACTTGAACAAGGTAAGTTCAACTCTGTTTATTTGTCTTATCTGAGGTTTTGGAACTCTGTTTGCTAATTCATCTAATCTCAAAAAGAAGAAAAACTTGCATGTCTAAATAAAGTATAATCATGCAGTGCATATATGGCTCTTGAATATGTAATTCATGGTCACTTTCCTGTCAAAACAGATGTCTTCAGTTTTGGGGTGTTAGTTCTTGAAATGAAGAGGACTTGTTAAGCTATGCGAGCATGAATTCAATCAAGTCGGTAGATTCCTTCTTTTGCCTTGTTAAATTTGTTTTTGACTATATTTTGATGTACTTTTATAGGCCTGGAGAAATTGGAGGGAGGATACAGTTGAAAACATCATAGATCCGGTGTTGACGAGAAGTTCATGGAATCGAAGTGATGAGATCCATCCACATAAGTTGACTGAGTCTGACCAATCCAAAACCCTCTCTGTCTATGCATCAAAATCTGAGACTTGAAATTACTGAACCATTTTCCATCTCTCTCTACTACTGAATTGAAACCCTCCTTTTTGAAATGGTGCGGTAGCTTTTCTTTGAGAGCCAGGAACAAAACCTCATCAATTTCCCAATAGTTAGAAGAACAAGAGGCGGGTGGGCCCCTGGTACAAAGTGACATAAAGTGTTAATGTCCTAAAGCTTTCACGCGAACATCACTCATCAAATTAACTTGAGGAATAGCTCTAAATGCCACCATTTTATTATATATAAAAAGGCCGAAATTAACTAGGAATGAATTGACATAAAACGTGACCCTATTTGTTCTGGGTGCAGGCTTATAATTTGTAGAACGGTTCATAAAAAATAATAAATAATAAATAAATAAATAAATGTATTTAAGTCGAATTCAAGTAAGCTTCAGATGGGTTACAATAGGGCTACAAGCCCCCTCCTGTAAGTTAACGTTGTGGAGAGGCATGAAGTTGCAGATGGATTCTTATTTATCCATTTAATTTAATTTAAAAAATAAGCCATGGACGCAGAACTCAGAGGAGTCCTTTTTATTTGAATAAGCCCCCACAACACTGTCTTTAAACAGAGGATTGGTCAATATTGTACTACAAACCCATAAATAAAATTTAATTGTCAACAGCAACCAACTGGGGCAATGAGTGGAGATAAAGTCAAGTGTTCACAGCAACCATCTGGGGCTGTTAAACCAAGAATTGAAGACACAAGTTCTTACTAGTTTGTATACAACACTACTTTTGACTTCAGCAACAAGAAATGGGTTCTTCAAGATTGCTCATCTTCTTCATTGCACTTCCTATTATCTTGACCCTTGTTGCTCCTCCTGCCGTTGCTCAAATTGATGACGGTGTGTGCACTTACACAGCCGACTTCTGCTGGAGATGTTCCAATATTGGCACCTACAATGATGGCAGCATCTACCAAGAAAACCTCAACAACCTCCTCTCTTCCTTCTCATCCAACAATACACAAATCAATTATGGCTTTTACAATTCATCAATGGGACAAGAGCCCAACAAAGTGAATGCAATTGCATTATGCAGAGGAGATGTGTCCCTCAACGACTGTCACACTTGTGTCAACGACTTGTACTTAGTATGAAAATTGTATTGTCATTTCCTAAACTCTAGCATAGGTTGAAAATTAGTGTGTGAAGAATTGTTACTAGACGTTTTGGCACAACTTATTCAACCCCATACTTTCGAGGCATGACTTGACCGATATGAGAAACTTGACTTTAGGTAAATCATGACATAATCATTGCATTCATTATAGTTGATTCTTCTTTTTTTGTTGAGTTTGTTTTTTTTTTTTTTTTTTTTTTTTTTTTTTTTTTTTTTTTTATTTTTTTTATTTTAATCTTATTTTTAATAGGATTAGATTTTATCTCTTAAGATTACTTTCCTAGTTTGACTCTATTTTGATTTAAGTTAAAATATTAATTTTCATCTTCGACTTGAAAAGCACATTTTATTAATACCTAAATGGGTTTTGGAGGATTAGGGTTTTTAGGGGTTTTCTTGTTTTTGTTAATTCTTTTGTTTGTTGGAAGAAGAATGAGATATTGTGGATGGTTGGAGTTTCGCAGGGTGGGTTTTGAGAAATATCTGGTGTAGAATTTATGATTGTTTGTTTGTGTCCACAAATCTTCTAGGGTTTAGTGTTGGACTTGGACCAACAAGTCTGAATTTTGGGTTTATACTTGCATTTTGAATGTGCCAACAAAGATTGTATGTTAGCTACTTTTTTGGGTGATTAATTGGAGATTATGAACATCAGTTTCAAGTGCTGGTCCTTATTGCTATCAGTTTAAAATATTTTTCAAGTATTATGAGTGAGTTGGGTTCAAAAGCAATTTTCTAAAGTCATGTTGTAATTAAATTGTAATTAACCAATTGTGGTTTATTTGAGAGGCCAAATTAAACCAATTTGTTTTGGTATCAATTTTATCAAATGCCAAACGAATCCGGACTGGAAACAAGTTTTCAACAAAACCCACATCCAATCAAGCCACACACAAACCAATAAATTTCGGATTCATTTGGGTTGGGCTAATGGGTTTAAGCCCATATTAAAATATTAAAATTAAAATAAATTTTTGCATCACATTTTCATCGATGGACTGACGTGTCCGTTTCTGACGAATATTACCTCGCAATTGCATTGTGCTTTCTGGTTGGCCTGCATCATAGTCTTCCAATCCGATGATAAGGAGTGAAGAAAACGTGGGGTCTGGCTAATATCAGAAGAAAATTCAAAGAGAAGACCTGGGTCAGGAAACCATCTAGACCTTGTATATTTTCAAGTCAAGAAACCATCTTTGTCTCTACTAGCGAGTTGAGCAAGAAAAATGGGTTCCTCAAGATCAATGCTTTTCTTCATTAATCTTGCTATTATTATCTTAAACCTTGTTGCTCCCACCATAGCCCAAGATGATGGAATATGCACGTTTAGAGCTGATTACTGCTGGAAATGCTCTGATACTGGCACCTACACAGCAGGTGACAAGTACCAAGAGAACCTCAAAAGCCTCCTCTCTTCCTTCTCCTCCAGCACCCAAAACAATTCCGGGTTTTACAGTTCATCCAGGGGACAAGACTCCAACAAGATCAATGCAATTGCATTATGCAGAGGAGATCTCTCACGGGACTCTTGTCAGGCTTGTCTCAACAAGTCTACTGATATTCTCTTGCAAAATTGTTCAACTCAAAAGGAAGCAATCATATGGGCAGAGCCTTGTATGGTGAGATACTCATACAACTTGATATTTGGTATTGAACAAACGGACCCTCTTAAGCACGTGCCTAGCCCAAACTTTCCTAAAAATCCTCAACAGTTTGCGCTGGTGCTTACCCCCTTGTTGGATATTTTAAGTGACAGAGCTGCGTCAGGGAATTCTCTTAAAAAATTTGCAGCAGGGCATGCAACTGTCCCTGGAGGTGAAACAATATACGCACTTGCTCAGTGCACTCCAGACATAGACAAGCAAAATTGCAGCAGTTGCCTTAAACAGTCCGTCACAGAAATTCCAATCTGTTGCGGTGGAAGGAATGGAGGAAGAGTTCTTAGACCCAGCTGCAATTTAAGGTATGAGAATAATAGTTTCTTTGCGTCTGAGGACGATTCGTCAGTAGATATTCCAGCTCCAGTTCCGGCAGCACCAGCACCTAAAGAAGGTACGTATGGTTACCCTGCATATCTTAAATTCGATCGATGTCTTACAATTGGGTGGTATGGTTTTGGTGGTTGTTAATAAAGGAATCCATGTGATTTTCAGAAAAGAAGAAGAGTAACATAAAAGAAATTGTCATCATCATCGTTGTGGTTTTGGTTGCTTTTGTCACTATTCTCAGCAGCATATGCATTTTCTTAAGACTAACAAAACGAAGGGTAAAACTTGACGAAGGTAAGTTCAACTCTGTTTAATTGTGATAAGGTAATACTATTATATTGTAAACTAGTGGCTATGAGAAGAAAGCCAAGTCGGTGGACTTGGACAATGGCGGCAGCCTATACCTATAAATAGGTGTCGAGCCCTCTTGTAAATGAGTTGTGCATTTACGCGCATCACAATGTTTGGACCATTCTAATTATTTAACCGTTTAAGACATGATTCAAATATTGCAAAATTAGTTAAATGCACTACTTCTAAATATAGAGGTTAACAATCTAAGTTGTTCCTTTTCAGATGAGAATTCGGAAGACATGAGTCTGGCGGAATCGTTGCAATATGATTTTGAAACTATAAGAACCGCAACAGATGACTTCTCTGATGCAAATAAGCTTGGAGGAGGTGGATTTGGAGCCGTTTACAAGGTAACAAAACAATCACTTACACAAGAAAAGAAATATATATATTAATCTAAGCATGGTTTCCTTTTTCTTTTTTTTCTGTTTTAAACATTCAGGGTAGACTATTAAATGGGCAACCTATAGCCGTGAAAAGGCTCTCCAAAAATTCTGAACAAGGTGATCGTGAATTTAAGAACGAGGTCATGTTACTTGCTCAGCTTCAACACCGGAATTTAGTAAGGCTCCTAGGATTTTGCTTGAAAACAGACGAAAGGCTTCTCATTTACGAATACGTGCCTAACAAAAGTCTTGATCACTTCATTTTTGGTATATTTTCTCTGCCTCAATTTTCATATAATTTATAGTAATTTCTTAAAGATTAAAAAAGTTCATATTTCATTTAATGAAATTGTATTTAGACCCAAACAATCATGAGCATTTGGATTGGGACACACGTTACAAGATCATAGAAGGCATTGCTCGAGGGATTCTTTACCTCCATGAAGATTCTCGGGTTCGAATTATTCATCGCGATCTCAAAGCCAGCAATATTTTGTTAAATGAAGATATGACCCCTAAAATTGCTGATTTTGGAATGGCGAGATTGTTTGCTGTTGATCAAACTCAAGGAGTTACAAAGACAGTTAGGGGAACCTAGTGAGTACTGTGATAATATGGCTAACTTACACTTTCAAATTGTGCTCTCCTTACAACAGAAAGCTTCATTGAAAAACAAAAAAAACTTGCATGTCTAATAGATGGAATATAATCCATGCAGTGGATATATGGCTCCCGAGTACGTAATTGATGGTCGCTTTTCTGTCAAAACGGATGTCTTCAGTTTTGGGGTGTTAGTTCTTGAAATTGTAAGCGGTAAAAAGATTGGTAGTTTCCGATATGGCGAGAATGAAGAGGACTTGTTAACCTATGTGAGTATGAATACATTAAAGTCATTATATTTTCTCTGTTTTGTCTTGGTAAAATTTCTTTTTGAATATATTGATGTACTTTTATAGGCCTGGAGAAATTGGAGGGAGGATACAATTCCAAACATCATAGATCCCGTGTTGACGACAAGTTCACAAATCGAAACGATGAGATGCATCCACATTGGTTTACTGTGTGTGCAACAGAATGTGGTGGACAGGCCAACCACGGTTTCAGTTGTATCCATGCTTAACAGCCAGTCTATCGCACTTCCAGTACCCTCACAACCTGCATTCTATATGCATCACAACACTGGATCAGACATATCTGCACTGACTGAGTCAGACCAATCCAAAAGCCTCTCCGTCTATGTCACAGCCTCACAGGAAATGACCCTTCAAATATAACTGAAGCATATCCTCACTAATGTTGAGTACCAACCATTCTGTAACAAATTTAGGCTTTAAATTTTGGTTTATTTACTATGTTAGCACTAAAGTTTAGTTGGTGTCTTCTTGCTTCAGGGGACCTTTGAATTTCTGCTGTCTAATCGGCAGTCTAAAACGTACAGCCACTTCTTTGACAAGAAGTGTCACTTGTCACTTGTCTTTATATTGGAAATGATGAAATATTGTCAAATGGTGAAACACCAATTGGTGCTTAAGGCGAAGAGTATGCATTCATAGTTGAGGCTTCTCAATGGCCTTTTTATAGATGTCTTCCAGGACAGTTGATGCCTTTCCTTTTAATAGGTTTAATAGAAAAATTGTAATTGCTTACATTTTACCAATGGTTTGAAACTATTCTCCTTGAACTCTCGCCTTACGATTCCTTCTTTTCGGGATGTATATTCTACTGTCTATATCTCATTATATCTGCTCTTCATGGTATAATTCCAGCGTAAAGGATCTGATTTGTGGTTTGCTAGGCCTCTCAATCTCTGATCCTGTCATCCTGTCTGGCCTTGGAGCTGAGTTGGATGGACATGAAAGAAGAAAAAGATTGAGCAGCTTCTTTCTTGAGTGGCTTTTTTCTACAGTAGTGCCCACTTTGCCTTTGCTTGGAAATGTAGTTCAGAAGCTATACTCAAGCATTGAGGATGAGCTCTAATTTTTCCTTTCTGCATGCAAAGCTTAGGCGGATTGGATTTTTCTTGTTGTGGAGGTTAAAAGCAGCTAACATGATTGAATTATTTATATGCTACTTGAAAATGAAGTCACCACTAGCTCTCTTGCCATCTTCAAACACAACTTTCACTCGAAATAGGATTCAGATCTTCGGGGAGATGATGGCTCTAGATTTACTGGGGCAGAATGAGCCATAAAGTTCATAGATTTCATGCAGCATGCACTTGATCTTGATGATGGGTAGAGCTTGAAACATACATAGATGGGGTATAACCATCAATTTGTTGACTAAAAAGTTGAGGCATGTTGGAGTCCATTTGGCTTTTATATTAACAAAAGAACTTTTGATCAATTATTTTGAATCGAAATTGGTTTGCCTCAAACATTTAACTACATTTTGATCCATCCCCGTTCTCGTTTCCCTTTATTTTGATTCTTTTATATTGTCGTTCCTTTTCATTTCGGTCTATATAATAGCTTACACCAACTGTGACTGGCTACTGGCTGTTGCGGGCTCCTTGGACGGCCTTCATGCCAGCAGAAAAACTCTCGCCTTCCGGGCTTTTTTCCTCTTTCTATGATGCAATAATAGAAACCATAATAAGAAGGAAACACATCATTATTAGTCTCATTTTCTGAGAAGATGTTGGATTTCATTAAGATAATCAGAACAAAACCCCATAATAAGGAGTATCACACACGCCGAGAGTACAAGAGAAGCAAACATCAGTATAATCAGGAGAGTCCTCAATTAGACAATCTTGTAACCAAAGAGGTGGGTCAGAAAACCAAAAAGTTAAGTCCTCTTGACCAAGACTGAAGCGCATAAGAAGATCCGCCACTTCGTTAGCTGTACGGGGAACAACGCAGGCCGAGTAGGAGGGGAGCAAGTCGAGGAGCCATCTAATCTCTTCGACGAGAGCCCCTTCTACCGCATAACAGGGATTTTCCTGGAGGATCATATGGATGGCGTTTGAAGAGTCAGACTCAATAATGAGAGGCGTTATAGAAGCATCCATCACAAAAGAAATACCAATTTTGGGAGCATACAAGTCAGTAGCTAGGATTGACAGCAAGCTAGGAGCACGCATTGCTACCGCCCCACATAGACGACCGTAAGAATTCCTGACCACTACACCAACCCCACGTAAACCAGAATTCAAGCTAAGCGCACCATCAACATTAAGTTTAAAATGGCCAGGAGGAGTTTGCCACTTTTTAGCAGGAATTGGCAAAGAAGACCGCCTATGATGGATTACTAAAACCTTTTGATACTTAGCATCATAGTTCTTTACACTCAAAACTATTAGTTCAGGGGGCAATATAGGAGAACCAAAGAAAGCTGCATTTCGGGCATTCCATAAGAACCAAAGAGTAATGGTAAACAAAGAGTGTTGTGAGCTAGGGAGGGTATCCCATACAGCCTACAACCAAATTGCAGCATCATGATAGGATAAAGTAGCAAGAAGTGGAGCCCAACCCAGTAAGCGCGAAACAGAAGAACTTACCGTGCAGTCGTGAAGAGCATGAATCGCAGTTTCAATCTGACCCATACAACGAAAGCAAGCAGTTTCAATCCAACTCAGTGGGCTAGACGCCAGAGGAAATGTTGCATTTTTTGTGGAACTTTAAGGCCCCGTTCATTAACGTTTTAAGGGGTTGTTTTCATTTTCAGAAAACAAAAATGAGGCAAAAACACGTTCGATAGCCCAAAAACAGAAAACATTGAGAATGTTTTCATAAAATGAAAACAAGTTCATGTGTATTTGTAGAAAACAGAAAAAAGTTGTTTTCATTCTCATGGGAAACATTTTCATAAAAAGAACTCACATATTATTATTTCAAATTGTACTACCAGACACGTTTTCATTGTTTTTGTTTTCTGAAGATGTTTTCTAATTAATCTACCAGACACATTTTCATTTCCTGAAAATGCATATTCGTTTTCTTGTTTTCATTCTCTAAAAATATTATAAGAAAACATTCTCCGAAAACGTTACCGGACGGGCCCTAAGCTTCCACAGATGCTTCCATAATTTTGTCTCATTAAGAAACAAAAGAAAATAGAAACATTATTTAGTCACGAGTTTTTCCTATTACTAGTGTAAATTGGTAGTGTATTTGCTTTGGTAACCAAAACTATAAACTCAGTTTCAATTGCACTGAAAACTGAAATCCAATTAATTTCTAACAGAAGAAAATTCGTGTTAACAATTTATCTAGTTGACCTATTAACCTTTTATAATAAATTTTTTTTTATACAGCTGATGTCGGAATTTGACCAAAATAATGTCTATACAGAAAAACTCCTTTAATGTAACTGTGGAATGTAACATGATTGATCTATGGCACACGCTCCAATACTCGTTGTAGTGCTTTTTTGATACCTTCCTGATCAAGTGTTGTTGTCAGTTGTATTTCCTGCACCTGAATCACAGATCGTATAAGTTACGTTTGTACATATGCATGTGCATTTGTATATGTTCTACATGTGTTGAGAGAGAGAGAGAGAGAGAGAGAGGAGAACGCACCTGCCTTCCTGCTCGAGCAAGAAGAGTAAACTTCTGGTTAACGGCCGGTGACTGTTTAAAAAGAAAAGAAATATGAAGATTTTAAACTAAGAAAATGGAGTTACACTTAGATTGATTCACTGTACTTTAAGGAACTCACATCTGAAAGCCTTTGACCAAATAAAAATAAAAATTCACTCACATTTGAAAGCCAAAGCTGCAGGTCCTGTGAAACCACTCTTTTCTCAAACCCCTGGCGATTGATTCTTACATCATCTATGCTGGAACATGATATCATTCAAAGCAGCAAGCATCAGACATCAGTTTTCTTAAAAACCAAAGACTTCCTATGACTTTGAAGCCAGAGATCACATTTATGCACACCTAAAAAATATTAACCAATAATAAGAATAAGTTGAGACTGCAGAAAACCATTCAGACTCCCATGGACATTGTACATTGTTTACAATCCTAGTAACCTCTCTCATGGCCTTCCTCATTTAGATATGCTTCTTCCATTCTGGAAGTAAATATTGACCATGTTAGGAATACTGTTGTTATAACTAATAATATTATGACCTCATATATTACAATTAGTTATACAACGAACGGATCACAATATAAGTTATGAAATGGGCAAATAATGTATATCATGCTACACTCTCCCTCATGTGCATCCCCATCCTACATGTTGGATCCAAAGAAATGGAGACAGAGAAACACAGGAATTTGTTGGGCCAATAATGTACATCAAGTGAAAAACAAACACTACTCCCAACAGATCAATAGTCTGAACTGCAATTGCTTACCAATCAGTCTATGAAAACATACATGGTGACAAACCAATGCTAGAGAGATTTTCATGTTTAAAAGGGCGAATTTTGAATAATGTATTTGACAATTATCATGATTCATGTTTTAACTTTTATCTAATGTGAAGCAAAAGGGGCCTGGACTACTTTGTTGCCAAAATAGTCTTTCTCGTGGCCTCAATTCCATCCATAACCGCAAGTGCTGTCACCAAAGGAGTTGATTTTGACCCGAATTGCATGCATGAGTCTTGAATGGAGATTGGTATTTAATAATTTATTTCTTTATTGACACTTCTTAATTATTGTTAACATGCACACAACATTAATCTATCTGTGAGCAACAGCAGAGTACCAGTTAGTAATACAAATATTTAAAAGTTTTGACCAATTCAAGATTTTAACTTTCAGCAGTTTCTGATGAGATAAATGTTTTCTTGACACGAATTTTACAGTTTTACTGGCACATTTTCCACTTAAAAATAAAACAATCATTCCTTCATTTTGAATTGAAAGGTAGCATCAGGAAACAAATGTTATTACCAAGTCATCTCAGCTAATTCCTAGGCAGTAAGTTTCTTTTGTGTCATTAAATAGAAGACATCTGCTCCAGCTGTATAAAGATATTTTACATACTATAACAAACAACCCAATATACACAAGTCTAGATATTGCAACCAGGTTTAAAAGATATAACTATCAGATTTAATGTCTCCTAGAATAAATAAAATATCATGCAGCAACTATTATAGCATATTGGCCCACACTCCAAACTTGACCATCTTGGAAATTTTCCAAATTCTAAATATTCATACAGATTTTAGTTTTTCAATTGAAGTCATTAAAATTTTCAGACAAAGTTTTTCATAAACCAAGAAATGTGAAAACCTACCCATCTTCCCGTACTAGCTCTTCAAATATCGCTTCAAGGCCTGGAAGAGGTTCTATATTGCTGCTATTGTCAGTGCTCAAAGAATCAGGACCTACAGAGCCATCCTGTGAATGGTCAAAATCATCAAACAAATACGTAAGCAATTCAAATTACCAGTTGAGAACTATGAACATGACTACAAGTGATAAATCAGAGAGTTTAGCATGTTACAAACCTGTGGTATTACTTTGTCCAATGTTTCTAGAAGTGGATCTTCCTCCAACTGTTTAATGGAAAGTGTAATTCTTGACTTTACTCTGCATGGATTTTTAATATGAAAACTCATCACATTCATCTTATATCAGATCAAACAGTTCAGAAACATGGCTTTATTTAAGATAATTTTCATGTGTTTGTGTGTGTGTGTGTGTGTGTGTGTGTAATAACTAAAAGTACAATCATACAACAGAACTCACCTATCGATATTAATAATTTTGACCCTTACATCATCACCCTCATTTAAAATGTCTCGTACATCCTGAACTAAATCCCATGAAACCTCTGAGACATGTACTAGTCCAGTCAGATGATAAAGACCTGTTTCAGAGTTTGATGCCAATTAGGATTTCCTTTTTCTTTTTTTCTTCCCTATTTGAAATAAAGTGTAGAGTAGGTTATATAACTAAAAGAAAAATACCATCAGGAAATCGTAGGTGAACAAATGCACCATAATCCTCCATAGAACCCACCCTAGCTTCAAAAATATCCCCAACATGAATTTGCTCAGAAAACTTCGACCAGACAGCTTCCTTTTCTGAGAATATCAGTTTCTTGTGCTCTTCGTCTACTTGGATTACCTAAAATATCAAGAGACTGAGATGATTTGTACATTAAAAACAACTCTTTAGTGCATTCCAGCCAGGAAAATAGAAAATCTGTATATTGAGATGCACTCTCAAATACTTGTAACAACGATAAAGTTGTATCTACAGCCAATGAAATAGAATGAAACTTAAAATGAAATCTCATATCCTCCTCCTCTGGTCTTTCAAAAAGGGAAAAAACCAACTACAAAACCCAGTGTTCAACTTGGTGAGTATCTAGATCTGACACAGATGTCAAATATTTCTCTAACCATAAAAAAGTGGAACCTACTGATGCCAGTAAGTAAGTAACAATGCTAACAACATCAGTTTGCATTCATATAGTATCAGTTTCATCACCCTCTTCTAAGACTCTTGACGGCTTTTATCTAGTCCGCCTTCTAATATTTTTCATTAATCTCACCATGATTTATGCACTTAGAAAAAATGGTTATGTGCAACATACAAATTCCTTTCAAAATATTATACGGTACCTAGAAGGTTAAGATTGCAAGCAGATATTCCTAGGGGTATTACATGCTACACAGTTTTTAATGAGTAAGCCAAACATGAAGTTGGCACGTTCTTTTTGGCCTGGCCGATAAGGTCACAAACAGATTGGCCCAAATGACATGATTTTTGGACAAGCATTTTCGGTTGACCTATCAAAGCAATAATGGTCCAATCAGCATGTTAGTTGTAAAGTAAAATGATATGTACCTCAACCTAGTCACCAATCTCATTCACCCAGTTTTCTATTTAATTCAAATCTTCAATTAAGCAATTCAAGGGCTTATTTTCATGGAAATTATGTTTCTTGTTTCTTGTCACTTTTCTTATCTTTTCCATTTTCCAAGGACGTTGCAACCAAATTTGCAATGTCAAAAACCTTAAATCTATGGATCTCACACCTGTCCTTTTCTCCACTGCCAGCATGGTTGTGACTGAACTAACCAATGTAAACATTAGTTAATTAGTGTAGCCTCCTTGACAATTTAGAGAGAAACACTTCAAGAATCAAACTGTAGAAAAAAAACTCTCACCTATAAACTACTAATACCGGGTGCAATAATAGTCAGGTGTAATAACAGTTGGGTCCATGGGCTTTTTTGCTTTCTTCAAAATGATGCTTCAAGTGTTTTTTACTATGGAAGGGAGTTTAGAGGGGATTATTTGTGAAAAGGAAATAAATAAAACCTCAAACACAGAAATCAGTTAGAAGAAGAAAAGGAAATAAATCAAACAGAATAGACAATACAATAAATGACCCCCTTTTTAAAAAGTTGGTTTTTCTAAAAGCAGCCAACAATTTGGAGTGGAGGGATTACTTAACAAATTAATGATAAATAAATTTCTGTAATTAAATTCATTACCTTCGCAGATATAAGTGAACCAGGTAAACCTTTTGCAATGTCTTGGAGGCTTTTTCCCCGTTCTGCATGAAATGGAATCATAAATATAACAGAATATAAATTGCAAGTACACTTCTTAGTAAACAAAGTAAGCAACACAAAACTCATTTCTTATGAGTGATGCAGGAATGGTACCCCTAATAATAGTGACTGAAAGTAAGAAAGGCACTGTCAAGGCACACTGAAAGTAAGAAAGGGAATGTCAAGGCACACTGCGTGCTTGCAATTTCTCTTCTAAGAAAGAGTTCAAATTTTGAATAATATACAAAACAGAGGAGCTTTGAAGGAAACTTCAAGAAAAATCCCATCTAAGGTTTATTCCTATATGGTTGTTGAGCTGGATGTAGGACAGGGAGTGGTGACCCCTGTAAGCCTTTTCCACTTGACACGCTACACTATACTCGACGGTGGCTCCATACCCTTAGGGGCAGAAATACTATAAAAGAAATCAGAAAGGACACATATACAAAGGTTGACTTCCTATGTCATGACACATAGAACTAGTACATTGAGTGAGAGACATTACTTGTCCTAACAATTACTTTGGCCAAACTTGCCCTAAAGTGAAAGCAAAAAGTATTCTCAAACCCATCCACATTTCAAACCATGCGTCTCGATGGATAAATTATCAACAACATGATATCAAGAAAAATTAATTAATCAAAAAGTGTCTCAAAACAAGAACAGAACATGAAGAGCAACTGAAGTAAGGAAATCAATACCTTTGCAAAAATGTGATGGGCTCAACTGTGGAAATGGAAGAAAACCCACTAGAGAATGAAACCGAACCAGCAAACCTCCGCCATTATATCCTTCAATCATCCCCTCATAGATTAATCCACTGTCACTATAAGCCTTTGCTACCTTCCAATCAGCAGATCTCTACTTCTTTGCAGTAATTAAGTATTAGCTCATATAGTGTATGGAGAATTTAACTCCAAAAACAGACATAACAAGAGAAATCAAACTAACTGTTGAAAACTTTTTCTATATCATGTGCTAGCTTCGGAAGTTTCTTCTGTGCTTAGTTCTAGTATGAAAACTTCCACTTGGCATTAAGAATTCTGGTAATTCAAACAAATTCATATACTGGCCATACTTACAATAACAATGGTGCAACAGTATCTAAGGAATCAATGCTTCATGTTGTTCTATGATACCTAGTGTTGAGAATATAAAGTCCCACATTGTGTATTCTAAGCCCTGTATCCCTATCTGTAAAACCTCAGGTGTCACAACTCATTGTCAATTTGAGTTGGATAATCTTTAACATGGTCTCATAGCAAAATACCCTTAATGTGTCAGACACAATTTGGCCAAATGTGCTCCTCCATTCACCGAGTTTAATTAAAACCAGCGTCTTTGGCTTAGCCTGGCCAGTGGCCACACGTGAGGTGACATGTCGCATTGGAAGTTCTAAAATCTTGGGTCTGACCCCTTGGTATCAAAATTCACAATACAGTGCAACGTGTCTTTCTGCCTTCCCTTGTACTATTTAATTTACTCACCCGACCCTACAGAGATGGAGTACCATTCTGCTTGAGAACCATGCAAACTATCTGGAAAAAGTGTTCCTCCTAAATTTTACATAATTCTTCCAGAAAAGCACATATACTTCTGAACTGGTATATATTTGGGAGATAGTTTTCTTTCTTTATCGTTCTCTTCCATCCTAAATATGAACAAAGCAAAAACTTCTGGTAAAAGCAGTACAATGTTTCCAACATGTAGGAAACCAACCACTAATACCTCCCAAAGAGCCAAAAAGGGTTGTAGATTATTAGAACTGTAGGTCAGTTACAAGATGATAGGGAAGAATTTAATGGAAATACCTCAAATTTGACCCAATGCGCGCCTCTGTGTGTCCAAAAGTATCAACTACCATCTCAACTGACTCTTATTATCATGCAAATTCAATGTGTTCTGTTTGATTCTAAACAATTATAACTGCATCCCAAAGTTCTATAGTTCGCCTACTTCGCTAAGAAAAGTATGATAGGATAGCAAATAAAAGTGGATGAGAATAGTCATCACTATGAGTTCACGTAAGCATTACCACTTACTCGATCAAGTCTATGGTATTTGCAATGTCTTCAATTATATTAACACATAAAACATATTCATTTATATTGTACATTTTCAAATAACTAGCAATTAAGCTTGAAGAGTAAATGATAGAATCATCTTCTTTTTTCATTTGACATGTTTGATAACCAATAAACTTAACAAACAACAACAAGGTCTTCATGTATTAGGATATATCCTTAATAATTAGAAATTGCATTAGTTCTAAACCCAAAACTAAGTAACCTTTTTTTAGAATAGGATAGTATTTAGGTGCATTAGTGTTAAGTACTTCAATATGAAAAAACAAAATATCACGCTCTAAGTCATCAGATGAAAACCTAAACGGTAATTCGAAATATAATACTTGTACTCTGAACCTTTGTCATTATGTTCATCCAATGGTTAGAATACAGTATGTTTCCTATTAAAGTACTTATGTTTATTATGCGTTGGACGGTCCCATTTTAAAGCCAAAAATAAGGGTTTGCTAACATCCAACGAAACAGGAACGGGATCGAGAATCATTATTAATTCAACACAAGAAAGGGTTGTGGAAAATTCCGTTTCTTGTGTCAAGGACTAGTAGACGAACAATCCCCCCTAAAATCCTTTGTTCATGTACATCATGATACATATTTATCCATCTAAATGTCGGAGATATACCCCTTAATATTTATATATTAATATAAATATCATATGTATATATAGTATACAAAAGAATTTTATTTTGTTCCCTCTTGTTTGCTCTAGTTACAACTTTCGGTCCAATGTAAGGATGTCAAACAAAACATCAGATTTACCTCTTATTGCTTCCAAGCATCCTTATTCCTAAATGTCTCCTTTTCATATTAATGAATTATTTGTATGTCATTACCAGTAATAGCTTATGTCGCGCTCTGATAAACTTGTACTAAAATGATTAAATATAATAATAATATCAACAAGAAATGAGGTGCGGCAGATTCTTAAAGATAATTCATTTCTTATTGGTTCCTTCATTCTTTCCAAGAGGCAAATGGGGTTCTGCAAATTCAAAGCCAATACATATGTTCATGCTACACAAAATCAAAAACCCCAAAGAAAACATGGCCATTGGCCAAAGGTGCAGCGAAAAAAGAAACGACACCGAATACAAATCCAAAACAGATACTACCAGTAAAACCAAAATATAAGAAGAAAAGGGAAAACAGAACACACCCGAGCCTCTTGAAGGTCCTCGTCTGTAGAGGCAGACGTGTCATGCACAAGGCCGGAATTTTCAGTATTGGATACTCTGCTCGCAGCAAAAACTGACGATCTTTTCCTGCAAAGAGACTTGTGAGAGAGCTTTGAGAAGTTGATGTGGTTGAAGACGCAAGATACTGAACAAGAATTATGGTTCTTAGAGGAGGCAATGGCATCGCCGGTAATAAAGAGCTGCGAGACTGAACCCAGTGCCAAAGTAGCACTGTATAGTGGCATTTCTTTGTTTTGGACGACAATGGAGACCAAACTCAGCGATTTGGTGACGGTAAAAGCGAGATTCGGATTGTGGATTTTGCAATATGGATTGGGTTTTTCGAACCAGGTATGAGGTTATGAATGATTGATTGGATAACGTTTCATTTTTGGTGGGGAAAAGCTTTTCGACTCTTTGAACGTTCCAAGTGTCTTCTCGTAGCCCACATAGAATCCTCTGTGCCCATTCCTAGCCTAGAATCCATTTTATTTCTTTTTTTTTTTTTTTTTTTTTTTTTTTTTTCTTTCTTTTTTTTTTATTATTAAGAAAACATGTCAATACTTACAATTGGGTGTCAGGCATCGGTGTTGGTGGTAGTGCCGATTATAGTACTGGGGTTACTCATTGAGCATCCCTAGACAATGTATTGAGGGTGAGGGTGAGGGTGCACTTTGGTTCATTCGATTTACATTTTAAATTGCGATGATTCATGGATTTTTTATTATGATTTTCTCTGTTATGATTTAATTTATTTTCGTTTTCCATATGTTACCTCATCAAAATTTAATCTAAAGGACTTAAATTATACGTATCATCCTTAAAAATGTTTTGGCTCGATTATGGCCCTTATTAGACCTCAAAAAGCCATATATTATGGCCGCTATCTCACTGTTGCATGTGATGTGAGCAAAGGCAAACCCACCTTGCCCTTCAATACGTGGCAATCACATTGGCGTGGCCTTTTCCAACTCCATCGATGCATTATATATGCATATATCTGGTAGTGCATGATGTGGTGTACCTAGCTAGCTACTAGCTAGGTGCATTGTACCCTGCAATTGGGAAAGTATAGGGTTTGTGGGATATTGGGGAAAGAAAAGATGGATGAGCACTTGGATTTTGAGGAGGAGACGTGTAGAGAATGAAGAAGAAGAAGAAAAAAATACATGTTAGAGATGTTAAGTTGGAGTTAGTCAAGTTAGGGTTTTTTTTCCAATTTTTAGTTAGGAGTAAATTGGATTTTTATTTTAAGGATGACATGTCCAGTTTAATAAACTAAATTAAATATCAGGCCAAATCATGGCTTACGTCCTATCACTTGCATAATGGCCCGAGCCAGCCCATAACCCAACATGGAGTTCGGGCTAGCCTATCGGGCATGGGCCATATGTATACAGGCTTATCATTATATAGAGCATTTGCTCCAATTAAAAGAAAGAGTTGTTAAAAATAAAATTACATAGACCGAAGTAAGAAAAATGGACAAACTAGTGAGACCAAAACGTTTTTGCCGAATAATAATTCCGGAGCTCGGTGTTCATCTTTGCCATGGTTCCGAAAGACACCATTGTCATTTTTTTAGCGAATTGTTTTTTTTGTTCGTTTATTTTTGTTTTTATTTTTAGGGTTAACGACAAAAGACACCCTGCTGTTTTAGGGCCATTCTCGAATTGGACCCCATAGTATCAATTTTATCAATTTACGCCCTCATGTTTTGAATATCGTCCAATTTCATCCTTCCATTAAGTTGACCAGACGGTCAATCGTTAATTGCCAACGTGTCACCCGTGGGACCCACCCCACCAGCGCTTTGACCATTCCACGCATGCCAGCTGAAGGGCAGTTTTGGTTTCTACAATAAAAAAAAAAAAAAAAAAAAAAAAAAAAAAAAAAAAAAAAAATTGACAACATCATGATCCATGTAAATTGGGCACGCTTTGCAAGAAGACGATCGAAGAAAAAGCCCCAAATCGTCGTTCGTCCTCAACCTCAGTTTATCCTAAATCCTAAATCTCCATAGCTTACAGCAAGTTCTACGATTTCGAAGAAGTGAGAAGAAATGAGTTGGGGTTTCAGGGCTCCAGGCGCTCCGCATCCATCGTACGGTAAGTTGGTTTAAATTTTTGCGATTTGGGATATCTGTGTTGAATGGGTTAGAGGTCGTATGGGTTATTCTGGTTTGAATGTTGTGTTTTGGGAGAAGTATGAAAGATTTTGTCGAATATAGGTGGCCTTCTTGCATATTTCAAATATAGGTGGTCTTCCAAGCTAAGCATGTGCTGGCAATGTCTGCCTTTAATACTCTAAGTGCATGCTTTTAATAATGCAAAAGTGTTAGGTGGAAGGGTGTGAAAATGGTTGTTTAATAAAAATTTGGTCTTTTGTATGATGGTCCTAAACTGAAAATAATTGAAAAGTGAGTTATGGTTTTTGTGTAATGTTTGAATACTGTGTTTTATGTTGTGTTTTATGTTTGAACTGAAAATAACCCATGTTTGGGACATGTAATATGTAGGTGATCCTGAATTGTTTTCTATTCAAATGTATCATGGTGGTCAAATCTGTGGTAACTATTATACTTTTGGCAGTGTAGCTTGGTTTGATTATTGTGACAAGGATAGAATGTCAATGACTGAGATAGACAATATGGTGAGGGAGTTAGGCTATGTAGGGTGATTAGTTACTGGTATAGTATCCCTATGTATAGCAATGGTGGCCTAACAAAGCTTAATGATGATCAAGATGTCATAGACATGCTTGTATTTGTACCAGAGACAAGGCTAATAAACATCTTCCTACATCATGGGGTTGATAGTGTTGAGAGGGAATCTTTTGCCACTGTAGAGAAAGGGAAAAGTAAAGTCAATTTTGTTTTTGGGAAAAGGAGGGCAAGAGCTTTTGGTAAAAGGAGGTGTAAAATGTAAAAAAGACATGTGATAAAGAAGACCAAAGTGAAAATACAGTGACTGAGGGACTAGTTGAGAAAGAGGTTGTTGAAGAAAGTGTAGAAAATAGCAAGTTATCAGGATGTCATCCAATGAAGACAAGAAAAGCAAGGAAAAGGACCACAGTCTGTCATGATGAGGAGGAGTCAGCAGACAGTCTTGACTCTGATTTTGCAAACCCTAACTTCAGTTGTGATGATAATGATGATGATATCGATTTTGATGAATGTGTGGACAAAAAAACTGAGTGGGTTGGAGATGGGGCAAAAGGAAAAAAGCTAGAGTCAACAAATGCTGGGGTTGAATCTTGGGATTGGGGTGTAGATGTTGAACTAGATTCAGAGGAGTATGATTATGATAATGTGCAGCCTACATATTACTCTGATGATGACACTCCAATGATAGATAGATGGCCAGAGTTCAATCCGACAACTGACATGGCAGATCCAGAGTTTGAGGTTGGGATGAAGTTCAGCGATTGTAAAGTTTTTAGATCGGTTGTGAGAGAACACTTTATAAAGAGGAATATGGATGTTGTATTTGTGAGAAGTTAGGCTTTCAAGCTAAAGGCAGTTTGTGCATATCCAGATTGCCCATGAGAGATATATATGCTTCCAAAATGCAGCATGAGAAGACCCTACAGGTTAAGAAATATGAGGGTGAACACACTTGTGGTATTGTTTGGGAGAACCCCACTGTGAAGTCTAGTTGGCTCAATGCCAAATATATGGAAACATTGAAGCACAATCCAAGTGGGCCAGTTAGCTCATTCATGGAGATTGTGGAGAAGGATTATAACACTGGAGTTTTTAGGCAACAAGTTTATAGGGCAAAAAAGAGGGCATTAAGGCAGATTGAGGGAATATACATAGAACAATACTCCAGAATTTGGGATTATTGTGAAGAGTTAAGGAAGACCAATCCAGGAACAACAATCAAAGTTCAATGTGATTTCAATGAACAATTAAGTCATCCAGTGTTTCAAAGGTTATATGTGTGCCTAAGTGCATGTAAAGTAGGGTTCATTGCTAGATGCAAACCCATTATTGGATTGGATGGCTGCTTCTTGAAGGGTGTATATGGAGGGCAATTTTTAGCAGTAGTTAGTATAGATGCTAATAATGAAACATGAGTGATTGCGTATGCAGTGGTTGAGTCTGAGTGCAAGGACTCATAGGTTTGGTTTCTAGAATTGCTGGTAAAGGATGTAGAGATTGTTAACCAGTTTGGATACACTTTCATATCAAACAAGCAAAAATGATTATTACCAGCTTTTGAGTAAGTTGTTCCTAATAGTGAACACAGGTTTTGTGCAAGACATCTGTTCACCAACTTCATATTACAATTCAAAGGGAAAGCTTTGTATGACAAATTCTGGGGTGCTGCAAAAGCAACAACTGTTCCACAGTTTGCAAGACAGATGAAAGAGCTGAAAAACCTTGATATGGATGCTTATGCTTGGCTGACTGAACCAGAAAAACCTCCCAGGCATTGGTCTCGATCACACTTCAGCACTCATGTAAAATGTGATATGCTTTTAAACAATATGTGTGAGTCCTTCAACTCATTCAAATTGGCATGTAGAGATAAGCCAATACTTAGCATACTTGAGATAGTTAGGTGTAAGTTGATGAGGAGGATACAAGGTAGAAGGGACAAAATGAAGAATTGGACAAAGGAAATTTGCCCCAAGATTTTTAAGAAGATAGAGATTAATAAAGCAAAAGTAGGTGGTTGTGTGACTATGTGGTCAGGTGGAGGAAAATTTCAAGTTGGCAGTGGTGGGATTTCACAATATATTGTGGACTTGGATTTGAGGACCTGTTCTTGCAGAGAATGGGATTTGACTAGTTGGCCTTGTGTTCATGGAGTGGCAGCTATAAATTACAATGGGGGCCTGAACGTAATGGATTATGTGGATGCATGTTATCACACTCAGACATATTTCAAGGCATATGAAAACCTCATACTACCTATGAATAGGATGGAGTTGTGGGATAGAACTAATATGCCACCATGTGTGCCTCATTCATACTCCAAACAACCTAAAAGGCCAAGAAAGGCTAGAAGGAAGGAAGCAGGTGAATGCAGCAACAAGGCCAATGTTGTTACAAAAGTTCAAGACTCATTGAGGCGTGGCCAATGTGGAAGAAAGGGCCACAATAAAAGGACTTGTCATAGGAATCTCCCCCCAAAAACGAAAAATAAAAAAGAGAAAGGCTGAGGTAAACATCTAAGGATGAACATTTGTTAATGTTATAAATTTTAATGTTTTTGGAATATGATGCAACTAACAATTTATTATTTGTTGCCTCATCCTAGCAAACTACTCAAACAAGTGAAGCTGGTCCTAATACAAAAACAAGGTGAGCTAAGCCTGCAAGATATGTGCAAAAAGGAAAATGGAAGAGAAAGGCCACCATTGTAGCTGGAAGTTCAAATGCACGACAACTGATTCAGCTGCTCCATCCTCAACACCTGCAAGTGGATCTGCCTCTCTTGCAACTGGATCTGCCCCTCCTGCATCAATTGAAGCTTCAACTGGCAATTCTTATTTATTGAGGAAACGACCTATGGTTGTGGGAGCATCAGACTTGAGTAAGGAATGATGATGGTGTTGCACACTTGTCTGTGTTGTATTAGCTGGTTTGGTTATTTTGAGCATGAGACAGTTTTACCTTTATTAGCTAGCTGGATTAGGTTATTATGTTATTTTGGAAGACAAGTTGCCTTGTGTTAGGAAGATAGCTTTTGATATTTTGTAAGTTTTTGTGTTATTTTGGAAGGTTGTAAATGTTGTTCTATGATATTATGTTGTAATGCTGCAAGTGGATATGTTATTATGTGGCCTATTTTGTTGTAATGCTGCAAGTGAAAATCAATTTTCTCATATGTTGTACAAACAAGTTGTTGGATTAAACAGGCTATTGCATTACCAAAATTTCACATTGTATGCAGATTACATAGCCATTCCCATTACATAACCAAAATGCAAAATGTCCATTCTCATTACATAACCAAAAGCACACTGCTTTCCATACCAAAGGCAATGTGCAGACCTAACCTAAAGCATAATACTTCCCATACCAAAAGCACAGTGCATCCCTAAAACACCCCCCTTTCATGCCAATTCCAAAGTCTTCATCTTCAGTCCATCTGATCCACCATTCCCTCCAAAGTAGGACATTGCAATAAGCATCCACAACACCACCAACGCTGCCCAAAGAACTTTCTCTCTGCGTCTAGCCTTTGCTAGTGAATTTTCCAACTTACCCCGCGATTTTAGCAACCCCAGAATCATAACTTTAGACCTTTCACACATTTCCACATCATACCAAACCCAGAAATCACAACCTCCTCTACCCTGCACAAAACCCACTCTATAAATTAACATTTGCACTTGCTACAATTCAAAATCTAATATTTTGCAACAAATCTAGGTTTTTACCTTTGCACACACAGCGAATCGCCTCCCAGGATTCGAAATTGTCCATGAGGTTCGGATTCTCGCATTCTTACCACACCAACACACGATCGCCTTATGCTCCATTTCTCCTTCGTTTTCTGGATTAAGGAGCCCATACACTCGGGCAGCTCACTTCTTCGAAATCGTAGATCTGAGCTCTCAGCTATGGAAATTTAGGATTTACGTTAGGGTTTAGGACGAATTTGGGGCTTTCTCTTCGATCTCCAGCTGAGGTTGAGAACGAACGACTGTTTGGGGCTTTTTCTTAGGTCGTCTTCTTGCAAAGCGTGCCCAATTTTGGGCGTGATGTTCAGTTTTTTTGTTTTTTTAATTGTAGAAACCCAAAATTTCCCTTCAGTTGGCATGCGCGGAATGGTCAAAGCGTTGGTGGGGTGGGTCCCATGGGTGCCACGTTAGCAGTTACCGATTGACCGTCTGGTCAACTTAACGGAAGGATGAAATTGGACGATGTTCAAAACGTCAAGGCGTAAATTAATAAAATTGATACTATGGGGTCCAATTCGAGAATGACCCTAAACCAGTAGGGTGTCTTTTGTCGTTAGCCTTTATTTTTATTATTATTTGTGTTCCACCTAAGTAGTGAAAAAGGGATTTGGGCTTGGGCTTACACAGGTGTAGCCCATACCAAAGTACTATACCTCTAGAACCTCCTAAAGATTTTCTTGATAAAAGAAATAGAAATATTGGACCACAAACGAAACTGAAACGTTTTATTTCTTGAATTCCATTCTTGAGCGCCAAAAAGAACCAAGAACCGTCTTCCCTCTCAACACATCCAAATCGTCATCCCTCTAAATCTCTCGTTCGTGATTTATGGTTCCCTTTCTATTTTATCAAAGGACATCAATGTCTGAATGCTAGCTTTACTCAAGGAGCCAAATGCAAACGAAGCAGAGGCTACTCCGGCTCTGACTCCGGCGTCGGCGAAGGTGATGATTCGGAATTCTACGGACGAGGACGTCAACCTGTTAATAATTTGGCCTGTTGTACTTTAATTGAAATTTGGAAGTCTACAATGGCAGAGTCTTAGTTCGATCTTCTTCAACCTCACATCTATGAAGCCAAGGCCGATTAGGTATATCATATAATTCGTTTTGGATTTTATAGAAATATTCGACCATATAACTTCAGTGTATTATACCACTATATTAACTTCTTTTAAAAGAATATGATACTTTCTAGCATGTGAACAAGTTTCAATTTTACATTTTATTTCACAGTGTTCTTTTAAATTCAGTGTTCTTTCTTAATTGTCAAAGCCAACTACTAGTCGAACTGTATTTTTGTTTGATGAACAATGCCATTGGCACACCTGCCTAATGATTGAATACTTCACATATCTTTTTATAGGGTTATGCATCTTTTTTGTGGGGAGAAACAAGGGTGCATAAAGTTGTGGGTGGGAATGAAGCTGAAGCTGAGGGTGAAGATGGAGCTGAAGCTAAGGATGAAGAGGAAGGGAAAGGTAATGATGAGGTTGGTGGGTTGGAGAGAGGTGAGGGAACAGAGGAACAAATGCCCTTACACATCTATAGGATCACAACCGATGATGAATCCCATTGTCTAGGAGTGGTGCTGATTGTTGAGTGCGAAGATGCACACGAATTACATGAGAAAGTTCTAGATGTTATATTTGAAAATGGGGTTTTGGAAGAATACGACACGCCTTCGATTGAGGAGTTCACAGTGCTCTGTCTTCAAATAAATGGAGATAGTTTCTTGAGGGTCAAACTTGAAATTCCTTGGGGCATCTTCCGACACTTAGTGGATCAAGTATCTTCTTTTGATGGGACTTTGTTAGATATTTATCGAAGAACTAAAGATGAGGAAACTGAATTGGTTGGTTGGAAAGGGGTTCAGATTAAAGATTGCAACGGTAACATAGAAGCTTTGGATGAAATGGTCATGAATTATTTCTCAGTTCATGGTGATATTGATGCATGTACCTTGCTTTACTACACCAAGCTTAGGAATGGATTTGATAAGGAGCTAAGTTTGGAGATCGAAAGGGACGTATTCACCCATTTGGTATGAGGAGTTATTGCATTCTCTGAAGATCCTTGGTCTGAGTGGTTAGATGGTGATGAGAGATACATTGATTGAAAGCCTAAAAAAGAAGATGGAATTTTGGTGTCAATGTGTAGGATCACCATAGATGGGAAAGGCACTCCTTGGGGGATCTTCTATTTGACTCAGAAACCAACCAAGTGACGGATCTTTATAGACAGATAAAAGAACACATCAGACTATATCATGAGGTTGAGGGATATGTCAACCCCGAGAACATTGATGGTTATTACCTAAGATATCCCTCAACCTCATGATATAGTCTTATGTGTTCTTTTATCTTTCTATAAAGATCCATCACTTGTTTGATTTCTGAGTCAAATAGAAGATCCCCCAAGGAGTGCCTTTCCCATCTATGGTGATCCTGCACATTGACACCAAAATTCCATCTTCTTTTTTAAGCTTCCAATCAATGTATCTCTCATCACCATCTAACCACTCAAACTCAGACCAAGGATCTTCAGAGAATGCAACAACTCCTCGCACCAAATGGGTGAATACATCCCATTCGATCTCCAAACTTAGCTCAGTATCAAATCCATCCTAAGCTTGGTGTAGTAAATCAAGGTACATGCATCAATATCACCATGAACTGAGGAATAATTCTTGACCATTTCATCCAAAGCTTCTATGTCACCATTGCAATCTGCAATCCGAACCCCTTTCCAACCAACCAATTCAGTTTCCTCATCTTCAGTTATTCAATAAATGTCTAACAAAGTCCCATCAAAAGAAGATACTTGATCCACTAAGTGCCGGAGGACGCCGCAAGGAATTTCAGGTTTGACCCTCAAGAAACTGTCTCCATTTAGTTGAAGATAGAGCACTGTGTACTCCTCAATGGAAGGCGTGTCATATTCTTCCAAATCCCCATTTTCAAATATAACATCCATAACTTTCTCATGTAATTCGTGTGCATCTTCGCACTCTTCAATCAGCACCATTCCTAGACAATGGGATTCATCATCGATTGTGATCCTATAGATGTGTAAGGGCCTTTGTTCCTCTGTTCCCTCACCTCCCTCCAACCCACCAGCCTCATCGTTACCTTCCCCTTCCTCTAATTCATTTTCCCTTGATCCTGTTTGGTCCTCGAGAAAACTGAAGGGAGGAGAAAGGACAAGGGAATGTGAAATTTACATATTTTTTCATGTAGTTTGTAAACATTTACGTTAATTTTGCCGACTAATTGTGGTAAGCTTGATTGAGTTGTTCTATATACTTTCCTCTACCCATATGTCAAATTGTAGATACTTTATTTGGGCTGGTGTTGATCTTTAACACTCCTCCTCAACACCAGCTCACATCCTTTGCACCACATTGAGCTGATGTCGAAAATTCTCGAACTTTCCCGTGCTTAAACCTTTCATGAACAAATCCACAACTTGATCATCTGTGTTGATATGTCTCATCTCAATCTCTTCTTGCAGAACTTTCTCTATGATAAAATGGTAGTGTATCTCCACATGTTTGGTTCTTGCATGAAAGACTAGATTTTTCGCCAAACGAACAGCCGATTGATTGTCACAGTATAACAGCACTGAATAATCTACTAGTTGATGTAGATCATTCATCAGCTATGTCAACCATGTGATCTCTTGAACTGCCATTGCAGCTGCTCTGTACTCAGCTTTCGTAGTTGACAAAGATACCGTCTGCTGTCTCTTACTACACCAAGAAATTGTTCCTGAACCAAGCTTAAACACGTACCCAGTAGTTGATCAACGAGTATCATGATCTCATGCATAATCAACATCGCAATAACCAACTAGTTTGCAATCTTCACCTTTCTTGTACAACAGACCATAATCAATTGTACTCTTCACATACCTCAGTATTCGTCGAACTGCATCTAAATGAGACTTCTTTGGATTTTGCATGTATCGACTCATCACTCCAATTGCATATGAAATGTTAGGTCGAGTCAGTGTCAGGTGGATTAGACTACCTACCAATTGTCGATACATCGTTGCATCTTCCAAGTCTTTGCCTTCATATGCACACATCTTGACATTGGGCTCCATCAGCGTTGAGATTGGCTTACATTCAAGCATCCCAAACTTTTGCAACAAATCTTTTGCATATATCTGTTGACACAGAAATATCCCTTCTTGTGTGCGATCGACCTCTAGCCTAAGAAAGTGCTTGAGTTGTCCCAGTTCTTTCATCTGGAAACTAACTAATAAATTCTCCTTTGTTTGGTGAATTTCTTCCTCGTCATCACCAATGATTATTAGATCATCCACGTATACCAGCACGATAGCTAATTTTCGTCCATTAGCTTTGACGAATAAACTAGAATCTGCATGTGCCACTGAATAGCCACTTCGAGAGAGAAATTCTGCAATCTTATCGTACCATGCTCTTGGCGCTTGCTTCAATCCGTAAAGTGCCTTTTTCAACTTTCACACATACTCGGGATGGACTTCATTCTCAAAGCCCATTGGTTGAGTCATGTAGATTTCCCGATCTAATTCCCCATGCAAAAATGCATTCTTCACATCCATCTGGTACAAGTTCCAGTCTTTGTTGGCAACAAGTGCAAGTAAGACTCGTACAGTCATAAACTTTGCCACTGGACTAAATGTTTCATCATAATCTAGTCCATACTGCTAAGAGAAACCTCGAGCCACCAACCGAGCCTTGTATCTTTTGACCGATCCATCAGGACGACGCTTGATCTTGTACTCCCATTTGCAGGATATGGGTTTCACATCTCTTGGCTTTGTCACCAGATCCCAAGTTTGATTTTGCTCAAGCGCAGTGATCTCTTCTCCCATAGCTTTAACCCATTCGGAACTCTGTGATGCTTCTTTAAACGTCTCAGGTTCAACTGCTTCTTCTGCTATAGCTGTCAAAGGAAATAACTACATAATTAATGCTAGCAGATTGACAGCTGATTATACAGATTTACAGATTTAAATACCAGCAGATTCTTTCCTTAATTAGGATATACTAGTTGTAGGCTATAATTAGATAAATGTATATATGGTAGGTTAGTTGATTTTAGGGGCTGAAGATCAGCCTGTGTTCTTTCCTAATTAACTTGTATTCTGTCCATATAATGAGCAATTCTTGATGAATAGACATACACTTTTTTATAAAGACTCTAAATTGTCATGGTATCAGAGCTATAGCTCTGAATTATCTCTCGCTCCCAAGTTCGTTAGTCTCAGTTATTCTTGATCAAGTTCTCTTGACATCATGTCTTCGGATAAGTCTGAGGTTTCTCTGATTCGTTTCAATGGCAAGAACTACTCTGCTTGGGCATTTCACTTCGGGATTTTCGTCAAAGGTAAGGAAGCGTGGGCACATGTTGATGGAAGTAACCCAGCTCCTGACAAAAACAAAGACAAAGACCAGCACGCCAAGTAGGAAGTCAAGGACGCTTAAGTTATGACATGGACTTTAGGATCTGTCGAACCTAATATCATCTCAGACTGCAGCTCAGATGTGGACTTACCTGAAGAAGATTTATAGTCAACGAAACACTGCTCGTAGGTTCCAGCTTGAACATGAATTGGCCGCTCTCCAACAGGATAGCCTTTCTATCTCTGATTTTTACTCTAGATTCAATAATCTTTGGGCTGAATACACTGATATAGTTTATGCTGACTTACCATCCGAAGGTCTTAGTTCTGTTCAATCTGTCCATGAAACTACCCAGAGGGATCAATTTCTAATGAAACTGATACCTGAATTTGAAGGCACCAGATCCAATCTTATGAACCGGGAATTTGTCCCCTCCTTGGATACATGCCTCAATGATCTCATTCGCGAGGAACAACGCCTTCTCACTCAAACCACCATGGAACAACGGCGGTCTGCATCTATTCCTGTGGCTTATGCAGCACAAGGTGAGCCACGAGGCAGGGATATGAGCACTGTTCAGTGTTTTTGTTGCAAGGGATTTGGTCATTATGCTGCAAATTGTCCCCAGAAATTCTGCAACTACTACAAAAAGAATGGCCATATCATCAAGGAATGATCATTTCTGTGACTGCAGTACCTCTAACACAAAGTGCTCCTGCTCCTGTTCAACCTGTGACCCCTGACATGATTCAACAAATGATCATTTCTGCATTTTCTGCTTTAGGACTCTCAGGTAAACCCTTCTCTACATCATCTCCTTGGTACTTTGATTCCGGGGCTTCCCATCATATGACAAATAATGCTGATTCTCTTACCAATGTAAACAAATATTTTGGAAATCTCAAAATTCATACTGCTGATGGCAATCATTTACCTATCACGGCCACTGGTGATGTTTCTTCCTCTCTCACTGATGTCTTTGTATCTCCTGGTCTTACCACCAATCTTGTGTCTGTCGGGGTTGATAATGATTGCAAAGTGGAATTCTCTAAATCTGGTTGTGTTGTGCAGGATCAACAGTCAAGGAGGATGATCGCGAAGGGGCCTAAAGTGGGACGTCTTTTTCCTCTTCAATTTCCTTTGTCTTCTTTTTTACCCTTTGTCTCTTGTAATTTTGCTCATTTTGATTACCGAGCGTGGCATAAACGTCTTGGACATCCAAACTCTAATGTACTTCATGATTTACTGAAATCTGGTTTTCTTGGGAATAAAGAATCACCATCTCTTAGTGCTGTTCAATTTTATTGCAATTCTTGCAAACTTGGCAAAAGTAAGACTCTCCCATTTCCTATTCACACACCACATGTAGTCCAACCGTTTGATTTGATACATAGTGATGTGTGGGGTATGGCACCAGTCACTTCTCATGCTAATTACAAATACTTTGTCACTTTTATTGACGACTATAGCCGTTTCACATGGATATATTTTCTACATTCTAAAGATGAAGTCTTTTCTGTTTTTGAGATTTTTCATGCATATATTCAGACCCAATTTTCGGCCTATATCATTCTCCTTCATTTTCTGTTTTGCCTATGTTTACTAACTCTTCTGCAGCTCCTGTTTTAAATACCTCTTCTCCAGCACCAGTCCCTTCTAAGCCTCTCTTAGTGTATCAACGACGCTCCTTCGCCACTTCCCACCAACCTCCAGCACCTCCCCAGCCCCCTCCAGCTCCTTCCCCGACTGCTGCTCCTGTTCCAGCAACTGCACCTCCACCTCTCAGACAAAGTACTAGGGTTCGTAGACCACCAGATAGGTTTGGTTCCTCTCCTCTTTCATCCTTCACTGCCACCTTGTCTTCTATTTCTTTTCCTTCGTCTTATACACAGGCCATGAAGCATGAATGTTGGCGGAAAGCTGTTGAAACCGAGCTTCTCGCACTTGAGGAAAACCAAACCTGGGACGTTGATCCATGTCCCTCCTCCGTGAAACCCCTTTGCAGTAAGTTCGTGTTTTCTGTCAAGCTTCGTTCTGATGGGTCCATAGACCGTTACAAGGCTTGGTTAGTGGCACTTGGCAACAAACAAGAATATGGTCTCAACTATGATGAGACCTTTGCACCAGTCGCCAAAATGACCACTGTCCGCACCATACTCGCCCTTGCTGCATCCCAATCATGGCCCTTACATCAAATGGATGTCAAGAACGCATTCCTCCACGGTGATCTCAAGGAAGAAGTTTACTTGAAACTTCCCTTTGGTATGCCTACTTCCTCACCTAATGATGTTTGCAAACTGAAAAGTTCTTTGTCTGGTCTGAAGCAGGCCCCGCAAGTATGGTTTGAAAAGTTTCGCTCCACTTTGCTTGGTTTTTCTTTCACTCAAAGTCAGTATGACTCCTCTCTTTTTCTACAACGGACATGCATGGGTATCGTTGTCCTTCTTGTTTTGTCAGTATGACTCCTCTCTTTTTCTACAACGGACATGCATGGGTATCGTTGTCCTTCTTGTTTATGTGGATGATATCGTCATCACTAGCTCTGACTTGGAGGCAATCTCTGCAGTTTAGACTTTGTTGCATTCTACTTTCCACATGAAAGATCTTGGTCAGCTCACTTATTTCTTGGGTTTAGAGGTCCATCATCAACCTTACGGTCTCTTCTTGCATCAGCACAAGTACAGTCAAGATCTGGTTCAGTTAGCCGGCCTTACCAACACTACTTCAGTTAACACCCCCATGGAACTTAATGTGAAATATCGACGTGACGACGGGGAGCTTCTTGAGGATCCTACTACCTATCGGAAGCTGGTTGGTAGTCTTATCTATCTCACCATCACCTGACCAGACATCTCTTATGCTGTTCACACTGTCAGGAAGTTCATGCAAGCCCCAAGGCATCACCATCTCTCTGCCGTTCGCCGCATCATTCGCTATATTCTTGGCACACCTAGTCGTGGCTTGTTTTTTCCTACAGGTTCTTCCCTTCAGCTCCAAGCCTATAGTGACGCTGATTGGGCCGGTTGCCCAGACACCAGGAGATCTACTACTGGCTGGTGTATGTTTCTTGGTGATGCCCTTATCTCTTGGAAATGCAAGAAGCAAGACCACGTCTCCAAATCATCCACTGAGGCAGAGTATCGCGCCATGTCTGCTGCGTGCTCCGAGATCATTTGGCTGCGTGGTCTCTTCACAGAGCTTGGGTTCAGTCCACTTCACCCTACTCCACTGCATGCTGACAACACAAGTGCCATCCAAATTGCAGCCAACCCGTCTATCACGAACGCACCAAGCACATCGAGGTTGACTGTCACTCAATCCGAGAAGCCTATGATCATCAGGTTATCACCCTTCCACATGTCTCCACTACTCTGCAGATTGCCGATATCTTCACCAAATCCATGCCACGTCAGCGCCATCATTTCCTCGTTGGCAAATTGATGCTTCTCGATTCACCAGCATCAATTTGAGAGGGGATGTCAAAGGAAATAACTACATGATTAATGCTAGCAGATTGACAGCTGATTATACAGATTTAAAGATTTAAATACCAGCAGATTCTTTCCTTAATTAGGATATACTAGTTGTAGGCTATAATTAGATAAATGTATATATGGTAGGTTAGCTGATTTTAGGGGCTGAAGATCAGCTTGTGTTCTTTCCTAATTAACTTGTATTCTGTCCATATAATGAGCAATTCTTGATGAATAGACATACACTTTTTCAGAAAGACTCTAAATTGTTAATAGCTGCGTTGGCGTATTTAGGATTAGGCTTTCGTACTCTTGTTGACCTTCTGGGTTGTGACTATGGAGTCTGTAATTCCACTTCACTTGGTCTAACTTCTTCTAGTGTTTGTTGATGCACACTAGTTTGCCAAGGATTTTGAATAACTTCTTGCTCGTCATCGTCACCATCAAGGGAATCTTCATGCTCATTTGAACTCGGTTGGATTGGAACAATTTGCTCCCCCATCTTTTGTTGAAGCTTATCTTCAATTTCTCTCGAGTATGGTAACACCTCCTTTTTTGGGGACCACCGCGATGATGCTTCATCAAACACCACATCATGTGATGTGTAGCACCTTCCATTTGTAGGGTCACAACATTTCCACCCTTTTCTCTAGCTGTCGTATCCCACAAAGATACACATGATTACCTTTTTGTCGAACTTGCTACGTAGATGACTTGGAACAAATACGTAGCACACACAGCCAAACACTCGAAAGTAACTGACTGTAGGTTTCATATCCCACAATTTCTCAAAGGGCGAAACAAATTCTAACCTTGGTTGAGGAAGTTTGTTGATCACATGAGCTGCGGTTCTCATAGCTTCAGCCCAAAACCTTCCAGGCACATTCTTGGCATGCAGCATGCTTCGACATATCTCTGCAAGATGCCGGTTCTTTCTCTCTACTACTCCATTCTATTGTGGTGTGTTGGCACACATGAACTAATGACGTATTTTACATTCTCGTAGATACTGGCAGAATTCATTCGAGGTATATTCTCCTCCATTATCTGTGCGTAGATAGATAATCTTTTTCCCCACTTCCCCTTCAACTATCTCTTTAAAATCTTTAAACTTTGAAAATGTGTCGGATTTTTCTTTCATAAAGAAAACCCACACATACCTAGAGAAGTCATCAATGAATGTCACCATGTATCGCATCCCACTAATCGATGGTTGCTTCACTGGCCCGAACACATCAGAATGGATTAATTCTAACGGTTCTTTTGCTTTGAACTTGGACTCCTTGTATGGTTGTTGATGCGTCTTACCATATTGGCATCCTCCACAGACCATATCTGTTCTCACGTCAAGGTGAGGCAAACCCTTGAGCATTGACTTCTTCATCATCACACTTAGCTTGTAATAGCTAACGTGGCCTAGTCTCATGTGCCATAAATCTGCTGTCTCGTTCTTTCTTGTCTTGTCTACATATGCAGACTCTGCTGACATTACGTAGACTGACTCTAATCGTCGTCCCTCCATTGTCGGCATCCCTAAGATCTTGAGGTCTCGATACACCTTCACATCTCTTGGACCGAACAGGACATAGTGGCCTAATGATGTCAATTGCACCACTAACAGCAGATTCTTCTTCATGCCTGGAACATGGTAGACGTCTTGAAGCGGCACCTGGTTAGAGTTATGTCGTGGTACAACTATTGTCTTACCAATGTGGGTTATTGGTAACCTTAAGTTGTTGGCTGTCACTACCACACGATTGCCTTTGTACTCAGTCAGGTTCTGCAGCTTCTCTTTATCATCAGTCATGTGATTTGAGTAGCCTGAGTCAACGATCCAATCATTCTTGTAGTTAATCCTTTCAGGTGACATCACAATGAGGGCTATCTCCTTTTCCTCAATAGCGAGAGATGTTTCCGCGTCCCAATCATCCTCAGTTTTCTCCTTTGAGTTGGAAGTAACAATATTGTTGGCGTGACTTGTGGATATTGACTTACTTTCCTTACACACCAAGAATTCCTATTATAATTATAATTGATTTACTTTAATTCTTGATTTCCTATTGTAAATAGATTTAGGAATTTATTATTTACTTGCCCATTCAGGTTTCGTTGTATTATAAATATGACCTCCTACAAGGAGAATAATACACAGAAAATTCCCACAAACAAATATTCTCTCATAGTTCTCATATTTTAGCATGGTATCAGAGCGGCGATCTTGGAATTGCTGACTCTGGTTTCACACCCCCGCCACCGCTATGGGGGTTGGTGATTTTTTCATCCCTCATGGAGGTAGCACCACCGACTCCTTCTCTCCTTCTCAACCAACCATAGCCGAGTTGAGTGCCCAGATGGCTCAGCTCCTACAGATGCAGACTTTGGCCCCGAATCTAATCCTGAATCAGGATCCTCTTTTGACGACCCCGACCCTGACCCCGACTATGACGACGACGACGACCTCGACTCTGACTCCGACTCCGACAACGACCTCGACCCCCACCCCGATGATGACTCTGATCCCGACCCCGAATTTGTCTTTGATTCAGACCCCGATCCCAACTTCGACTCTGACTCCGACCCCGACTCAGGCTCAGATCCCGATCCGAATTCCTACTAAACCTGTATCCTATACATCTTCCGCTGCACAGATTATGACTTCTCCACTAACGACCCCGACACATGGACCAGATTGCGAATATTGTGGTGATCCAAGACACACTCGTGAAACTTGTTTTAAATTGCATGGCTATCCCGATTGGTGGGCTACTCTTAAAGATCGAGGACAACGCAATACGACCAGTAATGGTACTGGTTATGGATTCCATACTTCCGCTAAGATTGATTCTAGGAGTTGGATAATTGATTCCGGTGCAACTGATCATATGACGTTTGATCCTGATGATTTTCTGAATACTACACAACCTCGACGAACCTGTATTGCAAATGCCAATGGTGTTACTTATCCTGTGACAGGGGCTGGCACTGTTGCACTCTCATCCTCTCTCACACTGTCTAATACTTTACTTGTTCCATCTTTATCCACTAAATTGTTGTCCGTTAGTCAGCTTACTGAACAATTGAATTGTTGTGTACTCATTTACCCGAGTTTTTGTTTGCTTCAGGATATTCACACTAAGGAGATTCTTGGTCGTGGTACTAAGAGAGGGGGGCTATATTATGTCGATGACTTCAGTCCTGGCATGGCTAACAATGTGACGCATCCCTTTGATAGCAAACAAAAGCAAATCTGGTTGTGGCACGTCGATTGGGACATCCGTCTTTTAGTTATATGAAGCATCTTATACCAGATTTATTCTCAGGTTTCAAGGACTCCGACTTCACATGTGATACTTGTATTTTGGCCAAGAGTCACCGTGTGCCCTACCCGTTGAGTGCAAACAAGTGTACTACTCCATTTACGTTAATTCACTCTGATGTCTGGGGACCTTCACCTATCACTGCTCCTTCTGGTGTTCGATGGTTTGTCACGTTCATAGATGATTGTACACGGATGACATGGCTTTATTTGCTGAAGAATAAAAACGAAGTGTTTTCCCGGTTTCAGTCCTTCCACAAACAGATGAAAACTCAGTTTAATGCTCAAATCCAGATTCTTCGCTCCGACAATGGTGGAGAATTTGTCAATCATGACTTTCAGACTTACTTCCAACAACATGGAATTATCCATGAGACGACTTGTCCTCAGACACCGCAACAAAATGGTGTTGCTGAACGAAAGAATCGACATCTTCTTGAAACCGCTCGAGCACTTCTGATTGGCGCTCATGTTCCTCGCCATCACTGGGATGATGCTATTGTCACTGCAGTTCACCTAATCAACCGCATGCCTTCTGGTGTATTGACCTTTAAAACTCCCTTACAGGTGCTTGCGCAACACAGACCTCTGCCCTCTGTTTTGGTACTCACACCCCGAATCTTTGGATGTGTGGCTTTCGTTCATTTTCACAAAAATCAACGTAGCAAACTTGATCCCTGTGCGCTTCGTTGTGTTTTTGTGGGTTATGCCACTCATCAGAAAGGCTACCGTTGTTATCACCCTCTTACCCGACGTACCTATGTCACTTTGGATGTGACCTTTCTGGAATCTGAGCTGTTCTTCCATGACCCATCATCCAATTCTACGCTTCAGGGGGAGATACGAAGTGAAGAGCAGAATTGGAGCAACTTGGAAAACGAAGAAATTCTCCTATGTACAGAAATGATTGATCATCCTGAGTCTGGAGCACAAGATTACTCTATGCCGAAAAGCGACCAATCGCCCATTCATAGCGATCAATTACCTGACCCACCTGATCCATACGAAGATATTTCTGATCCGAGTCTCACACCTACAGACAATACAGAACAACAAGATGAAGACCCCCCCTCTAACTCAACAGTACCAACAGACCAATCTCCTGAGAATATCCTTGAGGTAACTACTCCTACTAGACTTGTGCATTTAGAGGATAAAACTATTGGATATCAATTACCTTTCAGGCAAAATCGTGGGAAGCCACCAAACCGCTATTCACCTGATATTGGCAAAACATCCAAGTATCCAATTGCAAATCATGTATCCACTGAGAAGCTGTCTGAACCACTCAAGGCTTTTGTGCATCAGTTGTCTGCTATCCATATTCCAACCAAGGTCTCTGAAGCATTGAAAGATCCTAAGTGGGTCCAAGCTATAAAAGAGGAGATGAAAGCTCTTGAGAAAAATCAGACTTGGACATTGGAGATTATACCACGAGGAAAAAAGACTATCGGATGTAGATGGGTGTTTACTATAAAACACAATGCAGATGGATCTATCGAGCGATACAAGGCAAGACTTGTGGCAAAAGGGTACACACAGACCTATGGTATAGACTATGAAGAAACCTTTGCTCCAGTTGCAAAGTTAAACACCGTCAGAGTCTTATTGTCCCTTGCAGCTAATTTGGATTGGCCACTACACCAGTTTGATGTAAAGAATGCTTTTCTACATGGCGAACTCACGGAGGAGGTGTACATGGACATTCCTCCTGGTTATAATACTACTCAAACTGGAACAGTTTGCAGGTTACGAAAAGCATTATATGGGTTGAAACAGTCACCACGTGCATGGTTTGGACGGTTCACCATGGCAATGAAGAACAATGGTTTCAAACAGTGCAACTCCGATCATACTCTGTTCTTGAAACATCGGAAAGGGAAGGTAACAGCATTAATAATTTATGTTGATGATATGATTATTACTGGGAATGATAAACAGGAAATATCACAGCTACAAGACTATCTGGCTACAGAGTTTGAAATGAAGGATCTAGGTGGACTCAAGTATTTCTTGGGAATTGAGGTGGCTCGATCGCAGCAAGGCATATTCCTCTCTCAAAGGAAATATGTCTTGGACTTGTTGACAGACACAGGAATGCTAGATTGCAAACCTGCGGACACTCCTATTGTTCAGAATCATCATCTTGGAGAATATCCGGATCAAGTTCCAACTAACAAAGAAAGATACCAAAGGTTAGTGGGAAGATTGATCTATTTGTCACATACTCGACCAGACATTGCTTATGCAGTGAGCGTTGTCAGTCAATTTATGCACTCTCCAAGTGAAGACCACATGAATGCAGTTCTTCGGATACTTAGATATTTGAAGTCTGCACCTGGAAAAGGACTTATGTTCTCAAAGCATGGTCATCTAAATATTGATGGTTATTCAGATGCAAATTGGGCAGGTAATGTAACAGATAGAAAATCCACATCGGGTTACTTCACATTCGTGGGAGGTAATTTGGTGACATGGAGGAGCAAGAAACAGAATGTAGTAGCTTTATCCAGTGCAGAAGCCGAGTTCAGAGGCATGACTAAAGGGATTTGTGAACTTCTTTGGTTAAGAAAGTTGCTTACTGAACTTGGGTATAAACCTACATCTACAATGAATCTCTTTTGTGACAACAAGGCTGCTATAGCCATTGCACAGAATGGTTCAGCATGATCGTACTAAACATGTTGAGGTGGATCGACACTTCATCAAACAGAAGCTTGAGGCTAAAGTGTTTCAGTTTCCTTTTGTGAAATCTGAGGATCAGTTGGCGGATATTTTGACAAAGGCGATTTCCAGTCAAGCATTCCACAATTCACTGGATCAGTTGGGCATTGGCGACATCTATGCACCAACGTGAGGGGGAGTGTTGGCGTGACTTGTGGATATTGACTTACTTTCCTTACACACCAAGAATTCCTATTATAATTATAATTGATTTACTTTAATTCTTGATTTCCTATTGTAAATAGATTTAGGAATTTATTATTTACTTGCCCATTTAGGTTTCGTTGTATTATAAATATGACCTCCTACAAGGAGAATAATACACAGAAAATTCCCACAAACAAATATTCTATCATAGTTCTCATATTTTAGCAAATATTACTGTCAACAGGCCTTTTGTTGGACCAACAATCTTTCGCCATGTGACCCTTCTTTCCACAATTGTAGCATTTACCTTCAAATTTTTTATTATTCTTGGACTGACCACGGTTGCCGTGAAACTTTGAAGCTCCCCCTAACCGAGAACTTCCTTCTCCTTGATGACCTTTCGCTTGTCACCGTATCTTTTAGATCCACCACCAACATGCTGCTTAAAGTTGCCTTTACTTTTGTTGGTGTAAAGCGCTTCCTCTTCACCTTTTAACGAGACCCCTCCCATTTGCTTAACCATAGCTTCTTGATCGGCAAGCAAATTTTCAAACTCAACAAGTGATGGTTGAGTAGGCTTCCCTTGTACAGCGGCAACGAAGCCTCGGTATTCTGGTCTCAGACCATGGATACTTATTCTTTTTATCCTAGATTCCACAATAGCAGCAGTAGGATCTAAATCAGAAATTTCACGGCATATGGACTTTACCTTGTGGAAGTACTGAGCAATCGTCATGTCGCGTTATGCAATGGATAGTAGCTCGTTCTCAAGAAGTTGTAGTCTTGTGTCATTCCTTTTTGAAAAGAGTGTTGCAAATGTGTCCCATGCTTCTTTTGGTGTTTTGGCTTTCCTTATGTGCTCTAACATTTCTTCTTCAACTGTTGTCTTTAGGGCAAACATGGCTTTACCTGCTTTGATCTTCCATTTTCGCAAAGTGTCATTGTTGTCTTCTCGTGGTTGTGTAACATCATTGCCCCCGACGACATCTCAAAGATCTTGACCTTGTAGATAAGACTCCATACATGTTGCCCACGTGTTGTAATTTTTGTTGTTGAGCTTCGTGATTCTTCCAACTACGTGAAGATCATCCATCGTGTCAGCAGAATTCCAGCAGTACCGATCAAGTTTGATCTAAAGATGCAAACTTGTAGAGACAAACTCTTCACAACTCAAAGAAACTCCCGCAGAATCAGTCACTGACTGTCCCGCTCTGATACCAATTGTTGAGAAAAATTTAGAGTACACAACTCTAATGTAGACTTGTTGGAGACAAAACAAGTAAACAATACAATTTACTTGTATTAGACTCACAAAATTTTACAACAAACAACTCTCAAAGGAAAGACCAACTCTTACTAACACTCTTTCTCACTTCACTCACACTTCTCACAAGAACTACTTGACTCTATAGTTTATTGCTCACTCTCTACTTACTCACACTCACATTCTTGACTCACTTCACTTCTTGATTACATTGCTTTGTTGCATTGCATGCCTATTTATAGGCATTCTTTGCCGACATCACCAAGTCCACCGACTTGGTTTATTTATTTCCAGCCACAAGTGTGTGGCTTTTTAGAATAATCTTCGTAGTTCATGTAGTTGCCGACTTTGCTCTCCACCTTGGCTATATAATATTAGCTACATAATTGTTTAACCTTCTAGACTATTCTCTCGAAAATGGCTGCCAACTTTCTTTGTGCATGTGAATATTTATTCTAGCCCCATATTTCTGTTTTGTACTAGAAAACTCTACAATCTTCAACTGTCTAATATCTCCTCTTTGTTGACCGACATTTCACTTCTAGAGTTGTGTAGAAAATTTCCCTTCAGTATTTCTATGGGGTAGATACTTTATTTGGGCTGGTGTTGATCTTTAACAATGTTTAAGTTGCAGTTTTGATTTTGTGTTCTTCTGTATTTATCGGAAACCAACAGAACAACGTTCTGCAGATGGTTTATGAAACTAAGTTGCATGCATTTCAACCTTGAGATTTCAGGTCATGATGGTAATTTGTTTGGGTTTTAGAGTTTTGATTGGGATCAGTGTTGGATTCATAATTGGCTTGCTATTAGGCATATTGAAGTCTGGATCAGTGTTGGATTTCATGCAGTTTCGGTTTTGCTAATTTTATAAATAGAGTTGCAACTTCTTGTATTTCAAAGACACATCTTTAATTCCATCAATTTTTCCAAAGAAAAATGGAATTTGACTGGATGATTGGGGATATTTAGGGTGGTTTAACTTCATTGCCAACATCTAAAATATCTCAAATCGTGTATACGTAAGTTAAGTCAGTTGGTTAGGACAATGAGCCTGCACATTTGCATAATCTTGAACGGATTAGTTTGAGTCCCCCTACCCGTATATTAAAGTAATTTAGATTAGTGCTAGTAATATTTTTTTGGTTTAAAAACCCAAAATCGTGCAAACCACATGCTATTTTTGTCGACTAAATTGATAAAATAACAACGTGATGTCGAACTGCAACATATCCAAATTATAGGGGCAAATTCGGTAAAATTACAATTGCAGGGCCTTGATGAAACTTGACCCAAAATACAAGGGCCATTGGCGAGCCTTTCTATTTTCCTATGAAAGCGCAACCGTCCATTTTGTATTCGAGGAAAAATTTTAAGATTAACAAAAAATGTCCACATTTTAAAAAACTAAAAATGATTCTTGTAAGTTGAATACTTCATGGAAAAGACTCACTGCGATTCCTATGTTTACAGCATTTGCCAATAAGAATTCATGATCTTGAATGGAAACATTTCAGGGGGGGAAAAAAATAATTAAACTTATGAACAAGAAAGAAAAGAACTATTAAAAAGACTTTTCAAGAAATTCTTAAATGAAAATCTAGAGCCCATATCTGGTTTGACAAACAGTGGGTTATGCTCAAGAAGGCAGAATACCAGCAGTCAGTTTGCTTGGCCAAAACACTTGGGAATGTGATTATGTACCACTGCTATGGTTGTAGGGGTTCCAGCCTTCAGGTCTGATTGGTGATGAAACGGCTTTCTGTTAATTGAGGAACGCTTAGGTTAACCTGGGAAGGAAGAAAGTAGCCTCACTTCTCTAACTCTGAACTCATACAAGCATACAATATTCCATTGCTTTCGAACATACCTGATGGGCTTAGAAAAATCATGCATGTTTGAACAGTTTCATGCTGAGCCAATGAAAGTATACAGCAACCACAAGGACCGGGAGAGTCAAGGGCACCAAAAAGCAATAATACCTATTATCAGACAAGAAACTAAGTTAGAAAATGATGAAGAATAGGAACTTCAGTACGTTATGTCAATGACAAAAATCCAGTAAAAAAAGAAAGTCATGTTAAACTTGAACTTTCCAAATCAGCTTAATAGGTATGGGCACCAAGTCACTTACTAACACTCGAGAGTAAATAAAGCAACTGTCAACCCAAATGTTATTTTGTATAACATAAAAATCCAATCATGTCATAATGGAACACCAACGAATTTCTGATAATCACTCAATACCTTAGACTTTTTCTCTATATAAAAAGATAAATATACATATATGAACAACAATATCCCTATCTCTTTCCATGCACAATTCAACCAGCCAACGCAAAAGATTGATAAATTGACGAACAAAGAAAACAGTCCCATTTCATGGCCAGAGCAAGTTCAAAATTTTCCTTTGTGGCTATCGCTCCACATTGGGATTTTGTACAACATGCAGTGACTGATAATTTGGACTTTTTGGCTACCATCGAAGCTGACAGTTAAGATTTTGCACACATTGATTTTATTTTGCAAGCATATGCGTCATCTTATGTGTTAGCTTTTGTGGATTTCTTCGGTGCTTGCTTTATTGAGCACAATAAGCTAATACCTTTTGTATCTACATAATTTAAAGGATGGCAAAACAACAGTAATTTCAGCCCCTCAGAGTCAATAGTGCTGAGACGCTATATTTGGATGTGTGATCTACCATCTCTCGAGTCTTGATTATTATGAGTGATGCCTAAAAACCCCTACTCTGATGCCTACATTTGTGTGGTCAATCTTCCAAGCTCTTTTTCTTTACTCCTGAGCTGCTGTGTTTCACCTCAGGGAAGTACATACCTCCCACATACAATCAAAACCCAGCTTTTCACACAGATTATAGCATCCTAAAAAGCTGTCATTTCCTCCAAAAAATAAAACCCTCTTCTTTAAAGTAACCTAAGAAAGCATATGATGTTGAATTACATTGCAGGAAAACTGCCTGATCAACACAAATTTGCAGGCAGTCTCTATCTATTCAAATAAACCCCAAAAGGAAAGTCTATAGATCTGTCCCAAACGTAGTGCTCAATGTAATGAAACCGTATTCTCCTAACGACTGACAATAATACAGAAGAAACCCACCAGCTGAAAATTAATAAACTCACTCATATATATTGTTATCATAAAGCTAAGCATTCATTAAATAGATCAAGTAAGATCATATTGACAGAAGAAGAAAAAACAACATATGCTTACCCAGAAAAAGAGAACATCATATGGAGATAAATTATATAAATTGGCATTTTTTTCTGATAGGTATCCAAATGTTATTATTGGATCACTACTTCATCAAACATATAGGTACTTGCATATTGCAACTTAATAACTTATAGAAGAACCTGTTATTTTTCTCTAATAAGTATGTCAAATCATATGGCAATTTTGTTCTGGAATGAATGATAAATGGAGTTTAAGCTAGTACATTGGATTCTGGGACTAATTTTGAATATGAATTAGCATTGAATAGTAACAGAAGAAAAAAAAACATATATGTATATATAGGGGAAAAATAATACAAAATCACTTGGCTGAACCGAAAACAAGCAATTACCGGTCATTTTGTATGGCGGAGAGGATAATATTATCTGAAGGTGGAAGAATCTTGGATAAGACGGTAGCATAGAGAAAACCCAGAAAGAAAACAGAGCCGGATGCGATGAAAAACCATCCCCAAATCAAATTCTGTTGCATTTTACTTTTATCTTCCGGCCACTCTACACTTACATCTGCAGCCAAAAAATAAAACCCAAAACTCGATTTTTTTGGGTCTGGTGCTCGTATGAGTAGAAGCGCCAAGGAGAAGGAGGAGAAGCTGTGGAGGAGAAAGCCCAGTGGAGAAGAGCGAAGAAAAGAAGATGCGAACCTTTGGGTCTTTGTATTTGTATACTTCGCTTCTACGCACAGTATATTTGATCAGTTCATCCATCAAAACTTGAAAACCCCATTTTGCCCTTTAAAACTAAAATAACAACTCAACATAAAAATCCTAAATTTGATCAGTGGATAATATTATCGGATCAGATTTTCGGTTTCAAATTTCAGATACATTTTAAAATTCAAATTTCAGATAAATTCAAAATGTCAAATTTCAAATACATTTCAAATTTCAAATTCCAGATAAATTTCAAATTTCAAATTTCAGATAAAATTTCATTGACTAGAAAGTGAAAAATAGTATAATGAGAAGAAAATGTATGAGGAGTTGGTGTTAAAAGTGAAGAGTATTGGTTGGTATTTATAGAAAAAAAAAATTCAGTATTTTTTTCGTATTTTTTTAAATTCTTTCCGATTTTTTTTCATTTTTTTATTGGGCAAAAAATTGTCTGCCGTTGGATTGCTGGAAAAAAATGATCGGAGAGCCCAGGAGCTTCCACATGGCATAGAGCCGTTGGGGGTTGCTTTTTCGATTTTTTTATTCGCGAAAAAATGGCTGCCGTTGGATATGTTTAAAAAGCTGATCGGATGGCCCAGCAGAAGACACGTGGAAGAGAGCCGTTGGGCGGTCACTGTAGCGGCGGGTCAAAACTTTAAAAAAATTTAAACCCCAGCGTTGACGTCATCGTGACTTCAACGCGCTGACATCAGCACAGCCCTCCCCCTTGGGCCAGCCTAGGTATGTGGGCCCCACTGCTTGCCCTGGCAACTTCTTGTTGCTGCCAATGCTCAACAACTCAACATAAAAATCCTAAATTTTTGTACTTTCTGAGGGTAACATAGAGGCACCCAGAAGTTTAAATCTCAGCCCTTCATTATTTCATTCAACGGTTATCATTTCTCATCCGCTATGCAAACTTGGAAACTTAACATTGATTTTGTTGTCCTTAGGGAAACTTGGTATGACTAAATGAAGGTAGAATATACCGGACGCATATGTAAAGTGGGGACTGAAACCAAATTTAATTAGAGAGATTCACTATTATACCCAATATAGGAGCCCAAATTATAAAAAAACCCTATATGAAATGGAATTTATAAACACACCCAAAGCCCATTTATAACATAACAAAAAGGCTTTTAACTTCTTTTAAATTACAAAATTGCCATTGATTTCTTAAAACAAACCTGACCCAAAATTTCATAAAAAAGCCCAAAACACTCAATAGGGTATCAAAGTAATTTAATAATTAAAATTAAATTTAATAGTACCATTTGTCAGTTTTGGGATTTTTTTTGGGTATGTTTATAAAAATGAAATGATGTAGGGT